GAAAATCTAATGTTTTTTCATTGAGAAACATACTTTATCTTTAATGCCTCGCTAGAAATTAACAACAGTTATGAAGAAGTAATTAATGCTTTAAAGCTTTGACCATGAAATAACTTTCGTGATATTGTTTTTTTATTAGAATTGTCATCAGACTTTCTGACAAATGAAAAAAACTGCATTAGTTAAATCGGATCATTTATTTGCATCATTTGTCATTCAGTAGGCATTTCTGTATAATATTTTATAGATGTTCTGTTCACTTTTTCTGTATCTGTGTAAGTCTGGGTTTTCAGCTAAAGAAATGTCTCACTGATGATGCAGAGGTCTCAAGAACTCATGTATCAGATATGATACACTTGGTTTTAAAGGGTTAAAAATTGTAAACTTAAAAAGCCATAAAAATAAGTTGCAAGTTGTTTTGCTTTGCTTTAGAAATGGTTTATTTTAATTCTGAAGTATTTTTTGCAGTGTAACTGTTTAGCCTTGTGTCCATTTTATTCTGATCCAATGGCTAATCCCAGTCTTTTTTTTTTTGTTCAGAGATCTGCCTCCTAACACAGGGCAGACGTACGGCCAGCGTTAAAGCCGAAACCTACTGTCGTCTTTATTCCTTAAGCGTGGACGACTTCAACGAGGTCCTGGAGGAGCATCCTCTGATGAGGAGGGCGTTTGAGAGTGTGGCTGTGGAGCGATTGGATCGGGTTTCGCGCAGGTCCAGTTATCAGCCTCCAACAACTGAGTGAAGAGACTTCAGTCAGAAACATAGAACACTTTTTGACTCCTCTTCAGATAAAAAAAAAAACAGACCTAAAAGGAGCTGTGATGGACATCCAGAGGGAGATGCATAACTACCAAAATGCTACAACCCTTGGATAAACCTTTTGCACCCTCAGCTTATTATATTTTCTAACTTGGATATTGAATTTAAACATTATGTTTATTTATGTTCCTCTGTGTTAATACAAAATAACTGAACCTCTGTCATGGGTTTTCATTGTTTCCTTCCTTTCTTCATTTTTTCCCCCGTATTTTCAGACTGTAAATCTTGCTTTAAGCCAAACAGATAATGGTGAAGCTCATCATAAAGCTTTCTGATTCAATTGATCCCTAAATTCTTTATGCCGTTTCACATGGAGATTAATACCAACGGGCGCAGACGATATGCTCTGATGATGCAATAACTGTGACACCGGGTGCAGGTTGTAAACTTAACATCCCTCTATTTTTCATCTTGGTTTGTTGGGATTTATAATGACATGGTGTTTCCAATTATAATGTTTTTTGAATTATCAGCAATTATAATTAAAAAGCTCTCTCAGGATTTAACCAGATTGTTGCAAGCACATTTTACAAGCAGGTGAGGTAGATGCAAACAGATAAAGGCTTTTTTTTGACATTTTTCTTATCTGTGGATACTGAACAGTCACTTGGTTTACATTACTGTTCATAAAGTTTGTTTATATTGTATAAAAAAGGATTTTGATGTAGTTACAATAATATTTGAATTAGTATTGCACAGATACCGCTAAAATGGTAGTATCAGTATTGGCGAGTACCGTCAAATAGGACACCGATACCATTTTGAGAGCCAAAGGTTTATTCAACTATTGTCACGCATTCCAGGTTAGCAATAAAAATTCTACTGGATTCACTTTTTATTAGTCTTTTTCCTGCTTCACAAAGGTAGGCAGCAGCTTGACAAAGCCATGATGGCAATTATATTACATCCAAGTATTATACAGTTCTTCATATACACACACACACATCAATTTTAAACAGATGGTATCAGTATGGTATCGGTATCGGCCAATACTTCACAGCCAAGTATTGGGTATCGGTATTGGGGCCAAAAAATGGCATAGGCGCAACACTACTTTTAATTGAATAACAGTGAATTTAAAGTATAATTTCTGTGGCACATTTGATAAAAGGAAAAAGTAATCTGCAAGAGCTAATCCGACATAATTATCTTAGATCGCAGACCTTTCTTACACTGATTATGATTGTAAATGTGAATATTTCTGTCCCTAAAATATAATGAAAGTGTATTTTTTTCCTAAAAAGTTGTCGTAATATTTTTTTGTCTTCTTTCAATATTCATGGTTCATCATTTGAGCTTATGTTAAGCGCTAGCTCAGGTTATTGGAGACGACATTTGGATATTACATTGCTTATTCAAAAAAAAGAAGAAATTTCAGGAAAGGTTGGAGCTGCCACTCACTGTAATATAAATACGTGTACCCGAACCTCAGCCTGTTGTTTGAACAGTGCAAGCATGAAAAGAAGGTATTGCTCTACATCACATATCGCTGATGATTCGGAGGTTGGTGCATCACTGACAGTTTACGATACAGTGCTTAATCCAAGGGCTCAAGATGGTACTAAAAAGCAATTGGGTATGAGATTAGAAGACATAATGTTCAATATAGAAATAAGCTAGTGGGAAAAATATATAGTAATAGTCTATGGTGTGTTTATAAAAGCCAGTGCTTGATTGAACGATGAGAGAATACAAGTGAAGGATTTTAGAAATCAGGTTGGAGCTTGCAAATGCAATTAATATTTCTTTCCTTGTTTGATTAATGAAAGTTTTTTGAAAGATTGAAATAGATAAAAAGAGAATCGGACAAATTTTCTGTCTTCCCTGACCTTCAGTGTTCATTCGGTCAGATGTGTTTTTTTCAGATGTATCAACCACAAAAGTTTAGGGCCTAACAGGACTAATAGACCAATAGTGTGATCATTCTTTATATTAGAACTGTCTCATATTTAGCAGGAGGTTACCAAACTCCAAAACAAATCTATACCTGTAGTGGTGGCAAGAATAAAATGAAGAGTAGTTCCGATTTATTGTTTTATAAAAAGCTTTGAGTGAGTGGTCCATATCAATGATGTATTACAGGGCGATTTTGACCTATTGCAGTTTGATTACCAGGTTCACAGAGGAGGGGAGGACACTTCTGTGACAATTTTTTATACTCTACTTAAGAATCTTAAGTGCACAAAAACACATACAAGACTTTTATTTGAAACTTGAAATAACTTTAGATTCTGTTTGGAAACATTAAATTCCAAAATACTTTATTAATCCAAAGGGAAATTAAATGTTACTACTCCTTTTCAGGTTCTGGTGCTCTGGGCCCCAGTGGAGACAGACGTGAGGAAGCAGAATTTGATCAAATAATCTGGTAGCAGGTGAAGAAAGAAACAGACATGAAAACATCACACAAAACTGAGGACCCAATAAATATTGCTAATTGGAGGCTTAAATAGTGAAGAAAATATATGCAAATGATAAACAAAATGAGAAGACACATCTGAGCAGGATCTACTAATAAAAAGGTGAAACGAAACGATAAGAAATAAAGTAGAAAAAGCCAGACGAAAAGCACCAATGTGGTAAAAACAAGAAAGTATGGCAATATATAATGAACCAAATACAAAACTACCCTTTAGATTCTGAGAACTATCTTCTTTTGGTTCCTTTCATAAGTTGTGCTTCATGCTTGGCATGAATTTGTCTTCAGATTTTTACACAATTTAGTCGCTTATCTTGGTGAATAAACTCCTGCACCCCTTTAAATGTTGATGTTTTCAATGAAATTCGTTTTAGACATCATATTTGCTGGTAATCTGTTTCAGAGAAGAATTTGTTATTAGTAACTTTTTTTGTCCATAATAGTTTTCTTTTGGTCTGTAGACTACATAGAAAAAAACTAAAAAAACACACAAAAAAACTAACAAACCGCCATATCCTACTCTGCCTTATTCTGTATTGATTCATACCACTAAATCTTACGGAAGAGGATTAGGGCCACTGAACAATTTATTAAAAAGTTAATTGATTTTGAAGTTTTATTTCAATATAATATGAGATAAAATTTATTATTCTGACTTTAATCTCAGAATCCTTTTTTCTCAGAATTCTGACTAATCTCTAAATTTGGGCTCTTAATATAGATGGGCATCATGAAGGAAGAAATGTGGGATCACTCAGCTTCACTGAGAAAGATGGAAGTTGTTTGGGAGGGTCAGTAACACATTGGCAGAAAATGACAGAATTAGGCGACTTTGTACGTGCCCAAGGGGTCCCTGGTGACGGTATTTCATTAATGGAAGAACAGAAGGTAATTAAAACAAGAGAGCTAGTTTAGTCTTTAAAACAGACATGGCTACGGCTTGATGCTAACATGTTTGTTAGCTGTCAGACCTAATCTAGAATTCTGAGATTAAAGTAAGAATTCTGAGAAAAAGTTTCAATTCTGAGAAAAAAGTCAGAATTCTGAGATTAAAGTCAGAATTCTGAGAAAAAGTCTGAATTCTGAGATTAAAGTTAGAATTCTGAGAAAAAGTCTGAATTCTGAGATTAAAGTTAGAATTCTGAGAAAAGTCATAATTCTGAGATTACAGCCAGAATTCTGATTTTTTTTTTCCCCTCATATTATACTGAAATAAAATAAAAAAAATCAGTTAACTTTTTTAATTTTTTCCAGTGGCCCTAATCCTCTTCCGTAAAATCTAAGTCCATATGTGTGAAACATTATCGATGATAAAATTATTCTGACTCCAAATTAAGTTATTATTTCTCAGGTTTTAATAGCAACTACAATCATTTCTCCTGGCATGAAAATAACCAAGACACTATCAGATAATCTTACCAAACATTTTATTTAGTAAGGTTACATATGTCCCGTCAGACAAATGTTATGAAAGCTTTTTTTTTTTTTTTTATCAGTTATATATGTGCCACCACGGCGCTGCAGCTCTATTAACTACTTCCGGTCTACTCGCGCCGCTTCCTGCTAAGCTGTGTTTCATAAACCTCTACCGCAGACATAAGGTAGGGTGGACCGCTTGTTTTTGTTAGTAAATATTGACGCATATTGCAGGTTATGTAGAAGCTAGTCGTAGATGTGTTGTGAACTCAGCAGATAACAGTACTCTTATAAAAGTAAACATGTAGCGCTGTGGATCCCCTGCTTTTATTCGCCTGCAAGGTGAACCGCTTTGCTAGCATGCTAACACTGAGGTCAGATCGATCTACACAATCCTTGTTTATTCATGTAAAGGCTGGTTTAGCTTTGATTTTTATGAATTTATTTTAAAATATGTGTACTATGAAATTCAACACCCACATAATCCACCTAACAGCATTTACGTTTTATTCTCCCTTCTGTTAGCTAACGCTTTAGTTACCTGTGACGTAACATTGAAAGATAACCCAATACTTGAAATATCCAAGCTGGAAATATCCACTTTAGTATAGTTTTACTGCTGATATTGCTTAACGTGGCTGTCAGGTTGTATTTTACATGTAAAAGCTTAACGTGATGTAATAATCGATAATGCTCTTATTTTGGCACTGATTGCTGTGGTGCTTTTATTTTGAAATTCGATTTCCTACTAACCTAAGCTTTTATTCTTTAAGTGGATAAAATAAAACTGCAAACGTCCTATATAATTCCTATAAGATATTCTGCTACCAGCAACTATACAGTTTTTGAGTGTATTTTAAATTAGTTATGGTTGTCAGATATTTTATAAAAGTTTTGTGTGAAATTATAATTTGAACAGCCTTTTTTCTTTTGTCAAACAGTACAAAGAAGTTGTGACATTAAACAGAAATGCTTCGACATCTTTGAAAACTGAGACTGGGATAATATGTAAATTTACATTGAAAGAATGGGACCCAAATAGGATAAAGCATGTCTGTATTTTGTTGAAGTCGTTTTTGTAGATCAATTCTTCCTATTTAATATGATAGTTTAAAGTTGTAAAGGAAAGAAGGAAGACTTTCTGTCTAAAGTAAAATTCATGACGCTTCCTTTATTTATTTATTTTATTTTTTTTACTTAAACATGGAACTTATTTCCAATTTTTGATTTAAACTAGACCTTGTAGGGCTAACTAAGCACATATTTGACTATCAAAACTGTTAGAATAAAACAAACTTGACTCTGGTGTCAATTGTTCAAATTTTTTTTAATATATTTCCATGGCAAAATTTCCACACAGATCCTATTCCAAACTCTGCACCACTGCAGCTCACTTATGATAAAATTACAGTAAAAGAACAAATTCACTGATTGACACATCTAGTAAAAAGGGAATAGTGTTAATTAATTATTAGAGTTATACCTCCATCCTTATGTATTTCTGTTCTGGCTGATGTATTTCTGTTCTTGCTGATGTTTAAGTTTTTGATATAGAGAGCTAGTATATGGTTCCTATTTGATATGAGATATTCATTTAATAGCCTTTCTTCTGCTGAAACTCCTTTGGCGTAAAGTAGTATTCCATTATGTAGTATTGTATTAGAATTACTCCAGGCATATGGTGCTTGGTTTTAATGCTGCTGCTCTTTGTCTTTGCTGCTGGAAGGATGCTGTCCTTGTCTCGTTCGGTGGTGTGCGCTGCAGCCCGTGCCCCGGCTGCCGTGAGCCAGGGAGGTGTTACCACTCTCTGTAGGTTCAACAGCACTGCACAGGTAAACGGTTAGTTTTATTTTTTTATATAGGCACAATAGATATTGTAATAGTTATGTGACAAATGTATGTTTTTGTTACTAGCAGAGTGCTCCGAAGAAAACAAAATTCGGCCCACTGGCAGATGAGGACAGAATCTTCACAAATCTTTATGGTCGTCATGATTGGAGGTAGCAGGATCAATGCTTTCTCTCGTATTTAATCCAGAGCTTCATGTTTGTTCAGTGATTTGAAAATCATTAAAATTATAAAACAAATAATCCCCTTTTTGTTTCCGGGAAGGTTGAAAGGGGCCCTAAAGCGCGGGGACTGGTACAAAACCAAGGAGATCCTTTTGAAGGGGGTCGACTGGATTCTGAATGAGATCAAGGTGTCTGGTCTGCGGGGGAGAGGTGGAGCCGGTTTCCCGACTGGAATGAAGTGGAGTTTCATGAACAAGCCCAGCGATGGCCGGTCAGTGCAGAGCAGCACATCTTCATTTAGTTAATTTAATTTTCTCCCTTTATCTATTCACTTTCTCCCATTTAAGATTCCGTATTAAAAATAGTTTAGAAAAGTCCGAAATTCGGACTTAAAATATGTTAAGAAAACATTCATAAAAATCACTTGCATTAGAGCAAGTTTAAGCAATTGTCTGTTAAAAACGATTTTTGAGCCTATCACTGGGTTGGCTAACAAGCTGAGATAAAAAAAAAATGTTTTAATTTTTGAAATCAGTTATTTAATTGAGTAAATGTTCACCTGGATGTTTTGTAACTAGAATCAGACAGGTGGTCTTAAAATTCGGTTTTGCTTCCGAATTTTAGGCCAAAGTATCTGGTAGTTAACGCAGATGAAGGTGAGCCTGGAACCTGCAAGGACAGAGAGATCATGAGGAATGACCCACACAAGCTGGTGGAGGGCTGCCTGATCGCTGGCAAGGCCATGGGGGCCCGTGCTGCTTACATCTACATCAGAGGAGAGTTTTACAACGAGTCATCTAACCTGCAGGTAAATGCATACTGACTTCTATTGATTGCAATATCTCTAAAATTTGCAGTGTTTGTAGATTGAATTGAATACCACTGAAATATTTTTTTATTATTTATGCAGTTGCAAAAATAAGACAAGAGTAAAGAAAATCTTTATCCAGACTTTTCTTTGTTTTCCATTTTTGCAGAATAGGCACATTTCCATAAAGGGTGGATTAATTTTCACACTGTTTATACAAAATATATCTATTAAAAACAATAAAAAGCTGGATGCTGAGGTGATGCTTTTTGTTATGATTCTTCTATAATAAAACAAACCTGACATATGTTGTTTTTCCAAAATAAATAACAGATGCTTTATACATGACATTGAGATTATAGTAGAACCAAAGAGGACTTCTAGGCTCATATAGATATAATGTTAATCTATTTTAGAAATATATGCTTTATGTTAACATGAGATGATTAAACAAGAACTGAATTATGCTTCAAAAACAGTGGAATTTAATGACAATGGTTATCCTGAGTTCATAATAGAGCAAATCTAACTAAAAACAACTAACTGCAAATTGCGTTCCCTTCACACTAAAGCGTTGATATCACTATATCCTGTCATCTAAAGTGATGATGAGCTGGAATGGCAACAAAACAGGTTTAAGGGCTTGAAGGTTTTATTTGCAGAGAAACTGTAACGAGCTGACTATCTTTCAATCAGAATAAGTTTATTTATAAAACACTTTACAAACCCAGAGTGATTTCAATGTTACCAACAAAGTAATAAAAAAATAGAAATAACCATATACATATGATAGGATGCAATAAAACATATAAAGAAAAAGACAGAAGAAACAAAGACAAGCTTAATGGTCAGGCTCTTCTGAAATAACTATTTGAAAATAGTTTCTAAGAATTATTGAATGTTATGTAATAAAAATGAATAATATAAAGTTTTAATAATAATTATTGAAGGAAATTACCTGTTAAAAAGAGCTTGAGCTCTTATCCAGAGAGAGAGAGAGAATTTTTAATGACCTTTTTAAATATACTCATTTTTTGTTTGCTTGTTTCTTTTCCGTAGTTACACTAATTAGTTAACGCCTTTTTCTATTTTTTTTTTTTTTTTTTTTGGTACTGCAAAATCATAAAACGAACTCCAGTTATTATCTCATTATAACAATATAAAGACTGTCCTCCACTGCAGGTATCTTGCATGTTTTATTTACATCAGTGCTTCACTTTATCTCTGAATAACACCTTAAACCGCAACTTTGTTGGATGATGTCTTTTCATAAGTGCGTATTTTGCTCCAGGAATGTGTTGTAAAGGAGATCAGACAGCTTTTTATGTATAATTTGAAAGCTGGTCATGTTTCCCAGTGCTTCCCCAGTTACACACGTTTTATTTTTTTAAGTATAAATCAAGTGCACTGACTGCAGCAGGGGTTGCTGCTTGATGAGGGAGCTTAGACTCGAAATCCACAAAGATTTAAAAGAAATAACGCTTAGATTTACATAAATGTCTAAAGTTGCAGGAAAAAATCTGTAGATTTAAAATAAAAATAAAATTACAACTTTAAAGATAAATATATACATTCAGCTAAGATCAAAGATAATTGTTTAATGTTACTTTTTTTGGAAAGTATCATCTATTTTATCTTTTATAATTAATAAAAATTTGATCCACTGTTACACATTGAGATTTATTATTTTCTCTCTCTTTCAGGTGGCCATCAATGAGGCTTATGCTGCAGGGCTGATTGGCAGAAACGCCTGTGGTTCTGGTTATGACTTTGACGTGTTTGTGATGCGTGGTGCTGGCGCGTACATCTGCGGAGAGGAGACCGCCCTCATAGAGTCCCTCGAGGGGAAGCAGGGGAAGCCACGTCTCAAGCCTCCCTTCCCTGCAGATGTCGGTCAGTAACATCTATACATTTTACACAATGGTGCCAACCCTTTAGATCTTTTTTATTTTTTTTTATTTTTATGCAAATGTGGATTTTAATACCTGCAGCTCTTATTTCTTCTCCCTACATATTTTCTTAAAGGTGTCTTCGGTTGCCCAACGACTGTTGCTAACGTGGAGACGGTGTCTGTGGCGCCTGCGATCTGTCGTCGTGGAGGAACCTGGTTTGCAAGCTTCGGCAGAGAGAGAAACTCTGGAACTAAACTGTTCAACATCTCTGGACATGTCAACCACCCCTGCACCGTGGAGGAGGAGATGTCCATCCCTCTGAAGGAGCTCATTGAGAGACACGCAGGTACACGATGGACCCCAGTGAGCCTCATTCTGTTTATGTTTATGATGGCATCTATACACGTCTGGGAAAATTATGTCTAGTTTGATGCTTCTATGTTTATTTGTGGCTTTTTTAATCAGACCCTGCAAACTGTAAGCATACATGTTTTAAATTAAGACTAAACCTCTGTGTTTTCTATTTAACATTGACATCCTGAAAACTCAATCTAAAGAAAGTTTAGTTTTTAGATTAAAATTAAATCAAAAGGTCAGAGGTGGATGACCCAAATGTTCCATCTGCCACGTTATCCTTCAGATCAGGGGTTATGAAGTCAAAGATTAGGACGGCTTAACATAAGCGCTAGTATAGTTTTATTCCCCACTTAATTGAAAACAACATCTGTGGCGTAGGTGGAGTGCGTGGAGGCTGGGACAACCTGCTGGCCGTAATCCCTGGAGGTTCTTCTACTCCCATGATCCCCAAAAATGTATGCGAAGAGGTGCTGATGGATTTCGACGGCCTTATTCAAGCCCAGACTGGTCTAGGCACGGCCGCGCTCATCGTCATGGACAAATCTGTGAGTCTGTCACCTCTGCAGGATGTTCAGACGCTGGCAAAGCCCCAGTTCATTGGTTGATTAGGGTTGTTTTATTTTAAAGACTGATGTCATCAGAGCCATCGCCCGCCTGATTGAGTTCTACAAACATGAGAGCTGTGGCCAGTGCACGCCATGCAGAGAGGGTAATTGCTGCTTCCTAAATGACTTTTTTTTTATTTATTAAATGCTTTTTTAATAACAGCACTTATATTTCTACAGGAGTTGACTGGATGAATAAGATGATGTGGCGTTTTGTTCGTGGTGACGCACGGCCAGCAGAGATCGATATGATTTGGGAGCTCAGTAAGCAGATTGAGGGACACACTATCTGTGCTCTCGGTGACGGTGCAGCCTGGCCTGTACAGGTAAGGACAACAGGAGTGTGGAGAGTTTCAAGCCCTCAATTATTCCTATTAGATGCCCCATATATGTACTAATAAAGGGTTTATAGCTTTTAAATTATTGTTATATTTTTCCCTTCTTGCCTGTTCTTTCTCTATTCTTTGTACTGATTTCTTTTTCTTGGATAATTTTTTTTTCTTGTTCTTCCTCCCTGGTGGACAGCCTTTTCTATTCTTGTCAATTCATTTATTTTCCTTTTCTTTCTTTCCTGCTCTCTATCCTTCTTGTTCCCTCTCTATTCTTTTTCCTTGTTTTATGCTAGTTTCCTTTGTTTTTCTTTCTTTTATTTATTCCTGTTGTACCACTTCCCCACTTTAATCAGGTCAGAGGTCATTCCCCCTCTGTTTCCTACTTTCCTGCCTTACTTTTATGCCCTTTATATTTGTTTTTTCTTTTCTTATACCCTGCTGTCCTCCTGCGTTCTATCCTTCATTATTCTTTTCTTTTTTTTTTCTTTCTTCCATTTCTGCCTGTCGTTCTTTTGTCTTTTTTAATTTCTTAATATTCTTATGACCCACTTTCTTTTCTTCCTCCTGTCCTTCCTGATTGAAGTAACCATTCCTCCTAGTCTTTCTTTGGTTTCTTTGTTTAATTTCTTCTTTCCCTCTGTCAGTGTATCCAAGCTCTTTCTGTTATTCCTTTCTTCTCTTTATTTAATTTTCATTGTATTATACCTCCGTTTCTTTTCTTTTTTTCATGTTATTTACTTTCTTTAAGCTCTTAATGTGTGCTACTTCCCATCTTTTGTGTCATTTTTTTAAACTGTCCTTGGTTCTTCCTTTCTTTATCATGCCTCCCTTTCTCATGTGTTAACTCCTTATTATTGTTTATTTGTTTCCTTCTTCCCTTGTGTCCTTCTATTCTTTACTTCAGTTCGTCTTTCCACTGTTTCTCTTTCCTTGGCTTCCCTGTATCAACCCTTCTTACTTTCATCCTTTTTTGTGTTTCTTCAACTTATCATACACTAACAAGAACACCTTGATTTTTTTCTGTTTTTGTAGGAAAAAAAGTGTAATATTTTCTACCAACAGGCTTTTTACACTTCAATTTTGAGCTTTTGAATATGATCTGAATATGCAGTAAAAAAACATTCACCATATATGATTAAAGGTGTTATTGTATTAATTAAAAATGTAATTGTGTAGAAATTAAAGTATACAGAGAAAAAAAAAAGTAAGTACTCCTTTTATTTGAACTTGGTTCCAGTAGATGTCACCTAATCCCTCAATAAACATCTAAACATAATACAGTTGATTTTTTTATTTTTTTTTAAATGCCATTTATCCTTAATTAGTTCCCTCTTTTATTAGTTTGCTATTGTAATTGTGGCTTAAATCTCTTTTTGTTGTGTTTTTAGGGATTGATCCGCCACTTCAGGCCTGTGATGGAAAGCCGAATCGCTGAATACCAGCAGGAGAAGCAGGCTTTGGCTTAAATGGCTTTTTCAGTTCATTGCACTCTTCATTATGTCTTCATATGCCTTTAACCTTATCTCCATGAGAAAATATTTAAACTAAAGACTACGTACTCTGTTTTATCTCTTCAGAATGCTTTGGGTGATGTCTCTGCCGTGTTTGGTAATGCCAATAAAGAAATCCTACCGAAAACTAATGGTTGGCTTTAAAGAGTTGAATCGTTTTCACTTCTCAGCAATTATTTTTACTTCACACCTCCACTTTTCAGTACAAAGACTCCTGTCATCAGTATAAATATTCAGAGGACTACATTTGTTGGGTTGCATCATAGTTGGAAGGCTCAGAGTGCTGGTGGAACGCTTTTAGGAAACAATAATCTGAACTTGGATGTGAATAAAATGTAATCAGGAGAAGAAGGAACAAGCCAAACAATATCATGATAGATGTGGGAATGGTGTATAAATACCTCTGTGTTCACCTTCACAACAAACTAGACTGGAGGCCCAACTGTGAAGCTGTCTACAAGACAGTTTACTTTTAATAATAATACATTTTATTTAACAGCACCTTTCTGGACACTCAAGGTCACTTTACAGAAAAGAAAAAGAAAAATGAAAATAAAGGAACATAAAAACAGTTATGGATAGGGACAGATAAAGAAGGTCAGCTCCGTTCTTGGGACTCTTGGAAGCTCTAGATGATTTTACAACAACACAATATCTTTAGTCAGTGGCCTTTTTTTAGCAGATGGCTACGGGAGATTTTTCCTGCCCAGAGCCTTCAAGATCTACAGCTTTTATAATTTACACTACCTCATTGATCCCAAATTGTTGTAAGACTTTATAACCGCCACTGTTCCCAACAACCTCAATAAGCTGTTACACTCATGTTGATTTTGCACAGTTTCTATCTTAGTCAGTTGAATAACATTCTGCTGCTTTCAAATATCGATTACTGTACAAATGGCGATAGCTGTATATTGGTTATTTTATTTTCCAGGTGCACAGATTTATATTGTTAAAACACTTTACAATAGTGCATCATTCCAAAACAAAAAAAAACGTTTCAATTTTGGGTGCAGGGATCTACGGCTCACTAGGATTAATGACGCTAAATAAATATGTCCTTGATGTAAGATAAAATTCTAAACAAAGATATTCAGGTCCCAGTTTACAGCAGGGAACTACGGCAAAATTCGGGTTGCGTTGTAAACTTAATCTCGCGAGATTTTCTTGAATGTCACGTGACAAGGGCTAAAATGTACGTTGTGGCTTCATTTCCGTGGACGCCATAAAGCAACTTTGGATTTGTTTTATTATTACAGATTTACACTTTAGGGTCAACCCTCGCAGAAATAAAATGCGGGATGATAAATGTTAGATGTTTTAAATCAATTTAATTAATATAAACAAAATAGCGTCGCTTCTGTTGTTTATATCGCCCTAATTCATTCATCGTTTGGATAGCTGTCATATTTTTCTAACAGCAGCCTAATGATTGATGCTTGGAGTTTAAGACATACAGCGTTAGTTTTCTATTTTGCTTTCCCTCTGATAGACATATACGAATGTTTAAGCTATTAAAGGCTTAGGTTGTTTTTATAACATTGTGTTTGTGTCACACCTTAATGTAGATAGATCTGCTTGCTGGAAGCCTTGGCATGGAATTGCTGAAGATAGAGAAAGTCGTTGGAAATGAAATCAAGTCTCCATCTGCAGAGATCAAGCCCAACCCCGTGGTCGCCCCGAAATACTGTAAGCTGTTTACTATTATTACAAAGGACTTAGGAAATAATAAGTTTTCTCTCTATTAGAATAGCAGCTAATAGACTATAAGAGCTGCTCTTGGAAGCAAATGTGTAAATGAAGCAACTTTTATACATGTTTATAACTGCACCATCTTCTTGGCAGTTTTGTTATTTTAAACTCATCTTCTAAGCAGAGGTGTAGCCAGAAAATCCTAATGGGGGTCGCCGAAAGGCACCAGAACCAGAGGCGTAGCCAGAACATTTTTATAAGGGGGGCTGGGCAATAACCAATGTATACTGAGGGGTGGCCAACAGTGGATAGGCACCAGAACCTCAGGGTCCAACTACACTGTTCCAACAGGAACAAACACAACTTCCATATTTCTAAATAAATACAAACTATAGTTTCCTACAGCCTTTGCTAACAAATAGATGCAAGATAAAAGGTATATTGGATAAAATTCTTTCAGGTGTGAGTTCTGGTGCGAACATCTTTTACATTGTCATTACTTACCTACTTATCAATATTATTCTACATTAAATTGATATTTACAAATACCAATATCTACATAAATAGATAATTTAATAGGTTTTTATTAAAATAGTTATTTACAGTATCTATGATTTCACTGAAGACTCTTAGATGACTTGAAGAGACGCATCATTTTCTCTTTGTGGCATATAACACAAAATCTAGTTCTGAAAGAGCATGAATTCTGTATTAATCTCTAATGTTGGTATATTGATGTGCATAATCAATCAGTGTTTCTGTTGTCAAGTTATTGTTTATATATATAAAATTTAATTGTTCTGAATATTCTTCTTGAGAGAAAAAAATCGTAGGGGTGGCCAATGGTTGCCCCCCCCATCTAGATCTACCCCTGACCAGTACCTAAGAGTCAATCTACACTGTTCCAGCAGGAACGAGAACAATTTCTATTCTCATATTTTCTAAATAAGGACAAACTATACTTTCCTGCAGCCTTTACTAACAAATAGACACATATATTTAATCTATCTAATCTATCTATGCTGTGTAAATAAAAGGTATACTGGACAAAATTCTTTCAGGTTTGAGTTCTGGGGCAAACATATTTCACATTGTCATTACCTACTTTTAACAATAATCATTCTGCAAAAAAGATATATTTAAATCTACTAATATCCACATTAAATTAGTTTTTATGTTATTATTAAAGTAGTTATTTATCTATGATTTCACTGAAGACTCCTAGATGACCTGCAGAGGACCATAATTTTATCTTTACCCTAAATAAGTTAAAATTTAGTTCTGAAAAGAGCATGAATTCTGTATCTATTATCTTTAATGTTTGTATATTGATGTGCATAATTAACCACAGCATTTCTGGTGTAAAGTAGTTGTTAATATATGAAAAATGTAAATGTTAAATAAGTTTGAACATTCCCTTTCAGAGTATTACTGCTGCCACCATCTGTATTATAGGGAAAAATGGTAGGGGTGGCCACAGGGGTGGCCAATGATTGGCTAAGGGTGGCCACCCCTGGGCCCCCCTCTAGCTCTGCCCCTGCTTCTAAGAAAGCTCATTTAACTCCTGATTTCTGTGCACTGGCCTGGCTTTCTACAGAGGTTGACATCCAATTTGAATGGTTAGTGCTAATTTATAAAACACAAAATATTCCATCAGCATCCAGTCTATAACCTGCCTCTGTAGTTGCACTTGTGAAAACAAACTATATGAGGAAATCATAGTTTTTGTTCAACAACTAACCATGAGCTAATTTCTATACATGTTATTGCAATATAGATCACCACGAGGGCCTGCAGTGTTTCCATTGTCTGATTATCTTCAAAGACCTCAAATCCAAGGAGAGACACATCAGGAGGAACCATAGGGATGAGTATGCACATCATCTGCAACAGGTAAAAAGACATCAGAGTGAAAATAAAAAAAAATCAGCAGGTTTTTTTTAGACAAACTCTTGAATCCATTGAAAATAGTAAAGCACAATTTTATCTTTAAAAGATGAACAGCTTTAAACTCTAGATAAATAATAAATAATGAACTTTAATTTTAAAACAAATATGTGCAGATAATATAAGAAAGTATTGGAAAAAAATTAAATAATGTCATCTTAAGGCACTTCACAGAGACAATTAAACCAGATCATATAGTCCGAATGATTTGAAGTTTTCTATCTAAGGAAAACCTGCTGACTCCATCAAAAAAACATCATGCTTACAGATATATTTTAGGCTAGGCAATTGTTTTTCTGTATGTTAAGTATTATTTTAGATTTATATTTTGTTGGATTTTTAACTGTTTTATAAGCTGTTTGTTGATCTTTCTTGGTTGTTATCTTTTTCTCCAGCTTTTATTGTCATCACACTGTCACAGAGCAACAAAATGAACTCTCTGCATTTAACTCATCCTGTTGGGGAGCAGTGGTCTGCCATTTTTGGCGCCGGGTGAAGGGTCATTGCTCAGGGACTCCTAGTGGCAGGCTTTGGGAGTGGGTCTTGAACTCAGAACCTCTGGATTCCAAGCACAATGCCCTAACTGCTAGGTCACCACTTCCCCTTAGGAGGATCTAGACATAGACCTGACTAGGGCTAAGCATTTGTTAGTCCACCGTTTTGATTGCTATCCCTGATAACAAATTCCTCTTTCATACAGATGTGCCTCATTAAACTGAACTGCTACTCAGTTCATTTATTTCAGGGCTTGGACTCCTCAAGTTTTTTGTTTTTTCATATAAAGTGATTTATATACAATATTTATTACTGTAATTTTTTTTCTATTTTTTATTAACTGATAACCCTCTCATAAAAAGTAGAATATAACATGAGAGAATACAAGAAGATAAATTTAGTAGACATATGCCAGTATTAAGGTTTACATGTTTGTAGTAAAGATTTCTGTCTTGACAGCTGTCCTGCAGACCGTTGTTGACACCCTCCATGAGGAGGCTCAGAAAGCTGGCTGATAACAGAGTGATGCCTCCAAGCACAACAATGCAAAATTACGAAGAGGGAAAAACTGTCATATTATAAAGATGCATGATCCTCAGAGACTCTATTGATTTGGATCCAATCTGGTTTTTGATTTATTTGAAATCATTGCAGGCTAATTAATGTGTCAAACAAAGTAATGGATATTATTGGATCAGAAAATATTACATCTTAGTCTTTGTTGATTGGTTTAATATTATTCTGTTGTATATTTTCCATCCATTCAGCCAGCCTCTTTGTCATTTTGCATGTTCTGTAATTAAACACTGACCCCTGTTGACATTTCAGCCACAAATAAACACTGTACATTTATGTTTACACTTCAAGCCTGGATAAATTATATTTGAAAAGTAATAATAATTAGGAACCATGCAAATAAGGAGTTGGTTACTTTTATCTAAAATTGTATGGAGGTAAACTGTGTATGGACATTGCTGTAAACATTTTGAAAATGTCAAAATGTGATAAATTTATTGTATATCGTGGTAAGGTTGCATCTTTTTTTAAAAGCTAAAATATAGCTTCTGTATTTTTTTTTTATTTGAATATGTTTTTGCAGAATAACACGCTGTTTATGTGCTACAAGTGCAATAGGCTGTTCTCCACCGCAGAGGAGCTCAGCCAGCACCAACGTACACACATTACTGATGAAAAGCCATTTGCCTGCAGCCTGTGTCAGAAACGATTCTGCACCTTTTCCGAGGTGGGAGCGCTACCACTGAAAAGGTTTTTTACATGTGTGCTTTAAATTCAGAGTTTTAGTTTTCTTTACCATTTATCCTGATTTTTTTCCCATCATTTTGCAGCGGAACAAACACAGGCGAAAGGACTGCGGAAAGCGGCGGTATCTTTGCAAGGATTGTGGCACCCGGTTCCCCATTCCCTTTCGCCTCCGCAAACATCGCATTGCAATGCATCCTGAGAAAGAGGTTGCAGCCGAAAATGCCGACATGTTTCAGTGCTCTAAATGTGGCGTTTGCTTTCAATCAGAAGAAGAGCTCCTTCAGCACCTGGAGGAATTTTCGGATTGTGTTCTCGGAGAGGCACAAGGGAAAATACGAGGCTATGAACCCGTTTCCACATATCCAGAGGTGGAAGTTAAAAAAATCAAGCAAGAAAAAGATGCAAAGCCATACGAAGGATGCAGTGACTCAACAGGAACTGCTTCTGTAAAGCCCAAAATTCCCTGTCCTGAAGAAGACTGTGACTGCACCTTTCCTTCAGTGGAAGCTTTGCGAGGTCACAAAAAAGAGCAGCATGGACCCTGCGCCTTGAAAGCTCCCAGTTCTGAATACACCCGCCCTACCTTTGGGGAAAACTGTGCAAGAGAAAGCACTTTAAAGGCTCATCAAACCTCCCATATTAAAAGAGAGGTTGATGTTGAAAGAGATGATATAGAGGGAGAAAACATCCCTTTGATGTCACACGATTATGTCATGCATGTCGCTAGATAAAGAATTTTAATGTGCTTTAGAAGCATTATTTATTTTCCTTTTTGAGGAAATACTCAACACTAAACTGGTTCTTATGTGTGTAAATATTCAGTATTGTTTTTCGATGGGATCGTGTCAAAAAGGCAATTTTATTGTTTAGATTGTATTTGTTTCATCCTAAAATGTTGATCTCGATAATGAAGTAGCTGTGTAATTCTTTTCAGGGTTGTGTGCAAAACTTGGAAAATATGTCATATAAGCATGAAAAATAAATGATAGTTCTGTTTACTGGTCTGAAGTGTTGTCTTTATGTTGCTGAAATAAAGTGAATAAGAATTCTGCTGTCCTTGTAGTATTAATTGGTGGTGAGGGGTCTCTTTGTTTCCTTATATTTGTTCTTTGGGATATTTTGTGAAGTAAAACAAACCCTGAAATGTTAAGGTCTTTTTTTTTCTGTGTGTCTTTATAAACTCATGTGGTATTATGTTGTCGTTGAACGGCTTTTTCTTCTCTGAAGGTCATTTCAACTCATGTAAATACGGGACTCATTTGTATACTCCTCCAGTATTTGCACAAGGTTTATTGCTTTCATTTTTAGGTTTATTCTCATGTTTCATATCAAAACAAGTTAATCTCTGGGAAATAACCTGTCTCTTTCATTAGTAGAACGATAAGTTGTCATTCTCACCGTGTCTATATTTACATATACTGTAACTGATCACATTAGAGTGGAAAAAGTTGACACTTCTCTTCATTTAGAAGTTTATAATTTTTCCCCCAACTATTTTGAAGAAATGTGCTTTGAAAAATGTGTGTAATCTATATAAGTTTGGATTAATTACTTCTCTTTCAGAGCTTTATTATTATTTTCGTTTCACTGCAGCCTTCTATAAAACCCTCGGCTTCACCCAAAAATATAATTTTAGACCAACCAAAGTCCCTGTTTAGGTCAGCCTAGATGCATTGAAATATTAGTTGATGTAATTGCAATTTTCTAAAAAGATATATAGCTCCACCAGGACTGACCCAAGCCTCTCTGGGTCCCAAAGCAAAATTTTATTTTGGAGCCCTTTATTTCAGCCAATGCAACAGTGCAATAATCAGAAAATTTACACACCTACTATTAACTCATTGCAGTGCCCATAACATTTGCATGCCAAATAACTTAAACTACTATGCCATTTATTTACAGTAAAAGCTGTATATGCTTAATGGTTACAACTGCAGAAAATAACATGTAGGATCAAAAGCAAACACACTAGTTCTGATAAATAAAACTTGTTAATATATTGTACTTTAACAGAAATAATTAAAATACACAATAAAATATCAAGCATGTTAAAAGAAACAATGTTTTGTCATGACAAATATACCATGAATGATTTCTACATACACATATTAATTTTAAGAATGCAGTTTTATCATCAAATTGAGTTTTTTTGTTACTGTAATGTTGTAGAGATTCTTATACATAGAAAAACCTAAAGAGGGAACTGTTGGACACCCTAATGCCCCCTATTTCCCTTGGCACTTAGTTTGCTTATGCCTTATGGGGCGGCCTTGGGCTCAACCATCTGTTAAGAAAAAATAACAGAGAGCTGGAGGGCCTTAGTTAATAAAACATTTTCTGTTGCGTCAATTTAAATTTAGCTTGAAAGCCCTTTATATTCATATTCCCAAATAAAAGAGCAGCCCTTTAAAAGCGCTGTCGTCTACCTCAAAGCGATGCTGGTTTACCCATGATGCACCGTTCTCGCGCCTAGATCAGACCCATCTTGCCTCGCGCATCGATGCAGTGATCCTCTGCCCCCGCGCCGTCCCCGTTGTTGTAGTAAATATAATGGCGGCCTCGGGAGGCGGATTATCATCTACTTCCACCGTTACCGGGCATAGTTCTCAGGCACCGCCGGCCCGGGCTCGCTTCCCGGGTCGGCCCTTCTCGGTCCGCAGCAGGCTGCGCTCGGAGAAACGGGTTAGACGCGGAAGACTGAGCTTGGACTACGGAGAGCTGGTCGCAGCCGGGCCGAGGCCCATCAACATCGGCCTCGCGTTAAGCGAGGACCCGTCTCTGCTGCGTCTGCTGGGGGTGGCGGAGAAGCACGGTCGCCGGGGAGATGTTGGTTTCGACTCCAGCAATAGTGAGGAGGTGAGTCAGCCGGATAGGAAAATATATAACTTTTAAACGGCTTCTGTGTAAAATAGTGACATTAAAGCGTATTTTTATGCCCATTATATAAAGGACAGTTAGGCTAATGTGCAGCTAGCTAGCTGCAAGCATAACGTAGAGAATTGTGTTGCTGCAGCTTCAGATGGGACTAATTGTTGTTGTGGTATTACGCCTTCTTAAATTAAAACAGTAAATTTATACTCAGATATATGCGGAACTGATATAGGAAGTTGCATTTAAATAAATAAAAAAAATCCTTTCAGCGCAGTTTTTGCATTATAAACAGATAAGGCGGAAACTTTGGCGGTATAAGTAAAGGCGTTATCATACTGGCAACCATTCTTTGTAACACTAATGTAGTTTGTAATTTTTTTTTTCCCACGCAGGCCTGCTAAATATATTCTAATAACATTATCGTAGTTAAAACGTTCGGCGCTGTCAGCTGACTGCTGAGTGTTTTTCAACTTCAGCTGAACGGAGGAAGTAGCGACAGGGAGGCAAATGTTTTATTTCAGTCTGTAAGACAAATCCTCCCTTGCATGATGATCATAGAAGAAACTTTAAAGCGTTATGCTGTTTGTTAAAGAGCATATTAAGCGAGGAAGTGTTTCATGTTAATGTTTTTATTTACATCTTCACAAGTAAATTCGTACATTACTTGCAAAAGTTAGTATTTTGTGATTTAGGGCTATTTTAAATGAACCAATAGGTTGTTTTGACTTTTTTTGCAGTAACGTGCAGTACTCAAGATGTGAGGTTTAATTTTTTTTTTTTTTTTTTTTTTTTTTTTTTTTTTATAAAAGGCTGTTTCACTGAAAATGACTCACAGAATTCTTAGTCATTTTATGGTAAACAAATGCAGCAATCAAATGCTTTTTATAAACGCTGACTTAGTTGTAGGTGTTTTTTGATTGTTGCAAAGGTCTACGAGTCTGAAAAGCTTTTTTTGGTTCCATAATTAAAATTATTAGCTTCCTCCACAGATCCTTTTTCGAAATTTAAGAACGCTTTAAATCTCCATCCATCCATACAGGTGTTTTATTGTTCATGTTAATTGTCTCTGTAAATGATGAATAGCTACTGAGAAATCGGATCTCATTTATCAAATATATGACCTTTATGAAGTCCTATCTTCATTCTACTAGAAGATCAACCAGCAGCATGACCCATGATGCAGTTTAAATTATTAAAAGGTTGGGTAAAATCTTAGTTTCCAAATTACTACTTTTATCGGATGACCTGTAGACATTAAGAAAAAACGAAACCTCTATCTATCAGCCAGAAAAAGCTTTATCGGTCCATTTTCAAGCTCTTATCTATATTTAGTTATTTAAAGTAGAAAATGACATCTGATGCTCTATTTACATGCATATAAACCCGTTGTTACCGGTAGTCAGTTTTGATGAAAAATATTTTAGTGCTGGTATATGTAGTGTTTAAACCATGCATGGGCTTTAGTGTCTGACATCAGCAAGACTTCAATGATGCAATCTCCTTAGAGTGGACTGTAACACCAGCACATGGCTAATGTTAAAGCTTGTGAGGATGCTTACCGGGACCTCTCCACATCTAATACCAGGCAGAGTTTTTTATGCTAATGTTCTGTTGACCAATGCTGAAGATCGTTTTGTTTGAGATGGAAGTAAGTAATATGAACTGAGATATATGTCAGTGGCTGTGGAAAACAAATGGGTGCTTCAGTCAGTGAATGCATGGTGCATCAAGTTTTTTTTTAATGTAAGTGCTATGATGCTAGGATTGTGTTTTTTAGCAGCAGATTTCTTAGAATTCTGTATCATTATGAGATTTATATGGTTATATTTTAAGTTATGGTTAGAGCTTCAGAACATAATCCTGTTATTAATGTGAGAATGGAAATATGTGCACAGTAATATTGTACAGTTCGAAAAAGAAGGTGTGATCCATTTGGATTTTTCTGCTGAGTCACATAATAGATAATAAAAGATAGTTTCAGTTGCTGTTTCAAAACTGTACTGATAGACAAGTGTAACAGTAAAGAGGAGTGCTGCTGATGCTGGCTACAGTTTCTGTTGGGCAAGTACCTCATAATCAAATCATGAACCATACTGACTCATTAAGTTTCTGCTCTAGACATATATGCATGTGTGGGTTAACGGTTCATTTTTAGTGATACTGATGAACAACACAACCAAGGCTGTGCAATGTGCCTGACATGTACCACAATATAGTAATTATATCAGTCGTTAATGATAGACACTGTCTATCTGCCAAAAAACTGAACCATTAAGGTCTACGGTGTGATTGACTATGGGGCGCTCTTTTAGAAACATGGGTCGAGTTTATTTGGATGGATGGCAGAGCAGAACAGGGACGTGTGAATTGTGTAAGCAAACCACACCCAGACGACTAAAACAATCTAAGTTTCTTTTTTTCCGAAAAATAAAATGAATAAAATAAAGTTACCCAGGCAGCAGCCTGGCTTGGGGATGGATTTGATTGGGTTATGTTGGGTTCTGGATATGTATGTGCATACATGCGTGTGCATGAACACACACATTCATATATAATTATACTGACTTGGCAGTTTTCTTATAAAATCTTTTCTAGGAGGAGGATTTCACTGGATTCGGGAGATCAAGAGTATGTCCACCCAAACCTAGAACCACTGTCTCCAAGAGACCCGTGAGGCAGACCGAGCCTCCACAAGCTTCAGGCCAGGGGCCAGAAGCAAAGTCTATCATAGGAGGATTTTTTCCCAACACTCAAAAACAAGCTCCGATTAGGAAAATTGTACCTAAAGTTCCCAAGGAAGAGCAGGATGTTGGGAGCACAGATGAAGACAAAGAACTTCCAAAAGCTGCTGTTAAAGGGCATGACAAAGGGGCTTCCTCAACCAAAACCACCAAAACTGTTAGTGACACTAAACCTCATGAAACGGGGTCGAGCGCATCTTACCATGCAGAGCAGGCTCATGGAACAGCCAGGGCAGGAGGTGTGGTGTTGGATGACTTGAAAACAGCTGAAGGATCTGAAAAGCTTGAAAGTGGTTTTCAATTAGGACGCACCCGGCAATCACCTCGAGGAGGCACCACATCCTTTAAGTCCTTTAACACACATCAGCGGTTGAAGAGCATGGTTAAAGGTTTGGTTGTCTCTCCAGCGCCTGCAAACCAGAGTGGGGAAGATGTTGGAATGTCACCCCAAGGTAAAGAGACTGTAGTGAAGACGGTGCACAAAAGGCATCGAGGCAGATTTTTGTTCGGGTACAGGCACAAACCATCAACAAATGTTTCAGTCAACAAACGGCCGAAAATCGGTGGGGTTAGCACACGGCATGTTTATTATGGCTATGTTCCAGAGGTGCTTCCATCTGCGGAAAATGCTGAACAGCAGGGTCAGAGTATTGAGCCATCAGCGGACGAGACAAAGCCCAGCTCAGAGCAGCCTTCCCAGACCTCCAACAATACAACCATAACAAGCGGACGGTCTTCCCGTATTATCAAAACCCCAAAGAGATTCCTAAATGAGGAAATTATTCCTTTTCCAAAGGGTTCTCTGTCAACATGGCTGAAAACACAGCAGAAGGACGACACAAAACCCGCCCTGTCCTTTAACGAATCAGGATACGATGGATGCTCGCAGCCAGTCGACAGCTCGTTGCTTGAATCGAAAATGTCATCCAAACACAGTCCAGGTGCGAGCCATGCTGAGATCTACAAGAACTTAAAGAAACTAACTTTAAAACTGGCAGAGAAAAAGAAAAGCCAGTCTGGCTTTCAGGAGGACGGCACCGACCAGGACGACGGTTTGACTTTCCACCACAGGAAGAGGCGCAGGTCCAAGATCATGATGGGGGAGATGGATTCTCCTGGAGTTGTGAGAAAAGTGTCTGTGGTGGTCAAGTCAGGCATGGAAAGTCCAGCAGAAGACAGAGGGACTAACGGTAAGAATCAAATATTTAGTTTTTCCTTAAAATCTGTTTAATATAAATGAAGATTACAGCAGTAAGAAACACAATGAAACTGTAAAACTTTTTTTTTTCTTCCTGTCATCAGATAAAGATGAAACAGCAGTTGTAACAGGGTTCCCTAGTTGTGAGCTTTCGGAAGCGGACGGTCCCAGCCATCGGATTGGTCTCAGTGGAGCTAATAAGAGGATGCTGCACCTGCTGAAGAAAGCCAAAGTCCAGCTCATAAAGATAGATCAACAGAAGCAGCTAAAAATGTCACAGGTTGAATAACATTTCCTGGCTTTCGTGATTTCACATATTTAGAGAAGAATTTATACTGGTAAAACAGACAAATAATATTGGGTTCTGTACTTATCAAAAGAGTACCGGTTATTCTGTTTTCATAAAACATCAGTCAAGCGTTTTCATGTTAATGTCAGCTAAATCCTGTAAAATATTGAATCAGTGAGGTGAGCGTTTAATTTGCTCTCTAGGTATAGCCTCATTATATCAAGTGTAAAAAGCATGTAGCTTGTTAGGAAGGTTTAAATTAATGCACTTGCATTGAAAGCATTATTTTTCTACTTCTAGTTGAGTTCAAGGGAATCCCAGGTGCCAGTTTGTGGAAGGCGGAGGAAAAAGAGGAGGAGAGCCGGCCTTTCTCCCAAAGAGTATGGTCCTCAGGTAATATTTTGACTGAAACATCTGACAGAGTAAACGTGTGGAGTAAAGTTCTTTCTTTGAATAAGATCCACATGTTACAATTTATATTTTTGAACAAAACAATAAATGTGTCACTGCATATCACCCTGAACACACCATCCCCATCATTTACCACCTAGGAGGTGTTTTCAAAGGGGGGCTTGTGTCGCAGCTTTTCACTCCAGTGTCTGTGTGCAGGAGCAGCCGCTTGGAGGTCCAAGAATCAAGCATGTGTGCCGCGCAGCAGCTGTGGCATTGGGACAACCTCGTGCTTTGGTGCCTGACGATATCCCCAGACTCAGTGCTCTGCCACTTCATGAGAGGGAGGGCATCACCTTCTCCCCTGCAGCAGAAGGTACAGTCCACCCTCTGAAAATTGCTAATCATTTACATATTGATATTGAATGGTAAAAAAAAAAAAAAAAAAAAAAAGGAACTTTGACTTGGAGATATTATAGTTAAAATAATATTATAGATAAAAAAATTATTTATTCTGAGTTGAACAAAAAAAGTGCAACTTTTGTTTTTCATTGGATGAGGCAATTAGATAAAATTGGTCATGTATATTAATCTTTTCCTCATTCTTTCTGTGTTGCACCATAAAATCTTATATTTTTTAAACATTCATTATATTCAATTTTTTTTATTTAACTTAATTTAAAATAAAGGTTTGTTGCAGCCCCAGATTATTTTTTTCAGTCTCTTGTTCCTGAAGTTAAGCAGATTGTTTTCGTGCTCGTTTTACGAGATTGAGGGGAAAAGGATCTAAATGAGGTTTAGTCATAATTTTTTTTTGTTTGGTTTTTTTATCCATGTGTAGCAAATTATTTAAAGGGCTTGCATTTGTTATTTTGTTGGTAATTCAACTTCGCAATTCAACTTATGAATCACCCAAGTATTCTTACCGATTTTAGCAGATTCATAACTCATTTGTTAACATCTTATAATCTTTTTTTTTAACTACTTTAAGTTTTACCATTCTCAAACATCCTGGTCTTTTGTTCAGGAAGAAGGCAGATGGACTTTGTCTTTAAAAACATCACATAGATTAAAACATTTTGTCTCCAAATTTATGGGGAGAAACAAAATGAACATGAACAATGCTAAATCAACTTTTTTTAGATTAATTGTTGAAGGATAAAGGCACCTTGGTTGGTATTGTTCACAGATGGATTGAATGTTCTTGATTTGTGTGATATAGTTGTTGAGTAATCTGGACTTTTACAAACTTTTGGATTAAGTTTTGAATTTCAGTTTTTATAAAATTTAGGTGGGTTTAGTTGTAATAACTATTTTGACCTTGACATCACCCATAGGATTGGCAACTAGAGGTTTTAATTAACTCTCTGTAATGACAAAATTATAACTCCAGTTTGAGAAAATGTACGACTTACTTAGCAAGCAGTTTTGCTGTCTCAAAAAACAGCTCTGTTACCTAAAGTGAGAGGATTGTTGTTCTTTTGAATCATCAAGCCCATTTAACAGCTTCTGTTGGTTTTCAGACTGATGTGTATTGCAAACTTTTCTCCTCATAATATTATTGTAAAGGTAAGTTGCTGAAGTTTGAAGATCTTAATTTTAGATCTTGTGTTCAGACCGAACACGTTTTGAGCATTAAAATGCGTCCAATGTTTCATCTTGCTTGTAGACATTAAAGCCAGATGAAAATCAAGAGGGTCAAAAAACCTTTCCTCGTAAAGTCTAAAGACCCATCTGATGCATGTTGCTTTTTACTTTTTTACCAAAACAGATGTAATCGACAAAGTGGGTTTTCATTATTTGGTCTGTATAAGTTGGGTGAAAGTTGTTTTAAGGGGTTTCTAAGCGAGAACGCTCCTCAAAATATCATCCACGCAGTCAGTTTATCAGGATTAAGATCCTACTTTTAGAAACACTACTTTTTCCAAACAGTGGAGCCTTGCATGGAAGTACGCCTCAAACCAGCCAGTCACTCTGGGATTTCCTGCCCCCCCTTGCAGCTGCTGACAGCTCTACAGGAGGAGAGATGAAAACAACCATCACCCAGAGAGCCTCCTGATCAGGGCTGCGCTGAAGAAGTTTAGATTCCCCAAACCTAGCATTTTTTCTTTAAATGTTCTTTTATGCATGCCAACGCCTAAAAGCTCAAAACGAGCTGCACCTGATGGTTAAAAGATGCTGCCCCTTGACGTGTATTCAACCATAGGTTTTGCATACATACTGGAGGCACCTGATGCTCAAAACATGTTGGGTCTGAATGTAACTTTGAATTTGCAGTAAAGGAAAAAAGTGGATGAAAATTTTAAATTTGAGACTGTTGAACTCTGAAACCTCTGCTAACAGCAGCTAAATAAAGGATTCGAGGCAAAAACCTATAGTGGTTTAAAAGTTTATTTGATTATTGCAGTAAAGTGGAGCACTTTCTGTATGTCACTGCTCTGAGATAGTTTGTGGGTGTAAATACAAAAAAAAAGATTTTTATGATTATGCAGAAGTTAATCTTATCTAGAACAAATAAAAAATATTGTTATAGTTTATGCAACTTAAAAAGAACACTATATCAATGAGCAAGGTTTTGGTAACGACTCTCCCAAGTTAATATGCAGAGGGGAAAAATATAAAAAATTTCAATGTATTAAATAAAATATTTGCCAGCAAAAATATCTTTTGTCACACACAGATTAGCCACCGCTGTTGGAAAGCTTTACCCAACACTGGTCGAGTGAGCTTCACTCAGTATGAGGTGAGGAAGTGCTGCTTGACAAATGAACTCACTGATACGCTGTGCATTTTAGGACTTGCTCTGATCCCAGGGATACATCATGAGAAGTCTGACCAAATGGTGTCAGTCTGTAGACAAAAAAAAAAAAAAAAAAATCAGGTCTCGGGATAAAAAAAATCATCAGACTTCAGAATTGGATAAATTTCATGAAACTGGTTCGACTGAGATTCAGTTATTTCCTTTCAAACTACATCTATCCTGTCAAAAGGCCATAAGGGCTACTATTTTGTCAACTGAGCTGGGTGAAAAATGTGTCCTGTTTCTTTAAAGGACAAAGTTTCCACCATCTATTAAAGCAACACTTTGTAATTCTTAGCCACTAGGGGCGCTACACCTGTGACTCCCCAGCTTAGCTCCCCTGAAAAACCCTGACAATGCTGCATTGTCAGAAAATCAAAGGATCTCCTTCCGTGTTTTGGAATTAGACAACAGACTGAGAAGTTATTGCGATATTATTAAAGACAAGGCCACACCTACCTACTCTAAATTAAATCCTACATTAGAGAACGTATTGGCTTAATTAGCCCTCATGTTAAGGGGAGCTCAGGCTGACATGAAGCAGCGCCTTCGCTCTTATAACTCATTCAGTGACGAATCTGACCTTTTGAGAAAAGCAGGCTGCACTGACAATCAATAAACACCAAAAGCTGTATATTAACCTTAGAAAAAAAACTGAAATCCTTTAAGATATCTCAAATTAAGAAAATATTTGGTTAAAAACTTACATAGTATTGCTTTAAGTTCCTGTATGGTAACATGATCTTTTAACAGCCATCAGAATATGTGTCCTGTTTCTCATACAAGCCAGGTTGTGACTAAAAAGATGTGCAGAAGCAACAGCACCATCTGCAGTCACATTCTCAAGTTGCAGAGAAGGCCTGTCAGTGGCTAAACCTGTGAACCTTAACAACACAAGGATGATTCTTTGTTATGACTGAAGTGTGATGGTAATTCTCCTGTTACTTGAGTTTTTAGAGGCTACAGCTTCAAATGTTGTCCTGAGACTGGCAGTCCTAATATGTACAACGTATACCGAACACATATGGAGAAAGGGCAAAGAGTGATGCTTGCACACGGTTAAAATAACCCTCTGAATCATTTTAATCTCATAATAGTTTGGGCATCTTCACTCTGAAACATCCGCACAAAGGAAAAGTTCTGATCAAATATTTAAAAAAATATATTAAAGGGAGTTTCCACCTGTAATGGATTTTGTGGGGGACTTAACATTTCATCCAGTCACCCATCTTCTTTAAAAAGCTTTATTTGGTCAGGCAGACAGAAACATACCAGTAAGAAGTCTCCTTATTTGAAAAAAAAGCTTATCATTGCATGTAACGAAGCTCCGGTCCCAGAACTGAGACCCTTAATGTCTCCTGTGGGCTTCCTGAAAAGCTTCACCACACGTTTGATGCAGATTCGGTGCCGTATCAACTCTTTACCCATCCTCCTTTGTGTCTCGTTTGCAGATGTGGCTGATGATGATGACGATGATGATGATGACATCTCTGATCAGGGCAGGGCTCAGTGGGCTGTCTCTCAGGAAAGTATCCAACGCAAGGGGCGGAAAAAGGGCCACAAGTTTCAAAGGAGGAGGTTACTGAGTCAGTATGTCAGTGGAGGAATCCGTTCGAGACGCTGTGGAATCTGCAAAGGCTGCTCCGTCGAGGACGATTGCGGGAAGTGCATGAACTGCTTGGATAAGCCCAAGTTTGGAGGGCCCAACACCAAGAAACAGTGCTGCATGTAAGTAGAGGTGCTTTGTTTTAAGGGGCTGAGTTTTTGTCTTGCATGTGGCGAACTTTTCACAAATCCTCTAAAGTAATTTACTATTTTTGCTGTCCTTTAATTAAAAGGAAAGAACATAATCAGTGAATTTGATACTCATTATCTGAGTAACCTTCTTCACTGTCTGAGGTGTTTAGAAACTCCCCAAATTCCAGTTTATTACTGCAAATTCTCTAAATATGTGAGAATTATCAATCACCCTCTATGTTCTACAAAACGGTTAATTACCTATTAACGTTTTTCACTCTATGGTTTGTTCAAACTACAGCCGTAATGGATTTTTACGTGTTAAAAACACGTAAAAATATCATATCATCTGGCCAAATAATCTTGGCTAACTAGCAGACATTGCTGCAAAATATGTAGACAAAATCAACTTTAAGATGTTTTTCTCACCTTTATCAATATTTGTTAAGAATTAACTTAACATTTTTTTAAGAACATAACTAAAGAAATCAAACCTCTCCAGTGTGTGCACTAGATTGAACAAGTAAGTTTGCAAAAATGGAAATGTATATCAGTGCCTGTCAGACTACTGTCTTAAAGAGATAAACAAGGGGAAACCCTCAATGTTCAGTTTAAACCCCTAAGGGTTTTTCCAGTTAGTATGATCTATTATTACAAGTTAAAAATATAACGATTTAAGATATAAAATTCAGTGATGGAGATAGAAAAGGTTTGTTTGCATATGTTTATCCTCCATTTTAGACAAGTAGTTTGCAATTGAAAAAGAAAACTGTTTATCATTTTCCTTCCACTTTAAAAATGCAAAGGATCACATTATACATTGGGCCGGATCTATCAAAGGTTTAAAAACGTGAGCTATTTCACTGCGCACGCTAAAAAATGTACAAACTGATCTTTCAACAGCGTGCTAAAAGGATTTGGTCTTTAAAACGTGCTAAATAGCGCCTCTTATCCATTTAGTACTTTTTCTGCAATGAATATGCAATATGGGGCGTTTACACGCTAAAGTGCGTCTTGTGGGAGGAGAACATGTAAATTTGCACCTTCAAAAGAAGGTGCAAATGGTCTGTATGCGTAATTGCGCACACATGGCAGCGGTTATTGTCGCAAGAAGGAGACATCGAAATGAAGCAGGGAGACGCAGAGAACGCATTTTTTCACTCCGTGTGAATATTTTTGCAATGAAGGAGGAAACGATCATCAAAACATAGTTTATCCAGCATTGCCATTTTGGAGCTGTTGGGGGAACTCCGAATGGATTTGGAGCCAGCCACAAGGAGGACCCACGCAATACCAGATATCACAAAACTCCTTGCAACATTGCACTTTTTTGCATCTGGGTCATTCCAGCGTACGGTTGCAGCGAGAGCTGGGATCTCCCAATCTCAGAAGTGCTGTCCGACCGGGTCGGGGTTCTCCCACTGCGCCTGTGGAGTAACATGCCAATGCTGCGGGGATGCGTAATCTCATCCACAGTCACTTCTTGTGAGCCATTTGGTATGTGCATTTTTCTACAGGCCAATACAAAATACCTGTTTGTTTTTTATTTTTTATTTTTTACTGCAGTGAAGTAGAAATTCAGCCACATACCACCTTAGGGAATAAAGGTTGCCAAAGTTTTTTCTTTACATATATATATATATTTGTTGGGTGTCACTGTAAGATTTAAATTTCTTAATGCACTAGTTTGTAGAAACTACAAACTACTTTGCCGCAAACCACAAAACGCGCAAAACCGTAATTTAAATAGGGCGTCTCCAACAGTTTTGCACCTGCCACCAGTTACGCAATCACTCTTGTTAAATCACCCGCAAACCATGGTTCAGCCCCTCGCGCAAAATTCCAGTTTGCGAGCGCAAATTACTGCACGCAAAATTGTATCTTGATAAATCCGGCCCATTGTGTACCTGTGATCTTCAGCGTTTATTTTTTGGTTTTGTTTTTAATTTTCATGTTAATTTTGATTTAGGCTTGGACTGAGTCATTCTGACTCATGTGTATACTTTTTCAATCTGGATAATATCAGCTCAAGCACAAGATTGTGATAATGTTCCAGAATATTATAAAATGATATGGATAACAAATACCCACTGGCTTCCTGACTCTTTCAATTGGATATATTAATACAAAAAAAAATACATTTTAGACAAGTGGACCGAACTGTCTAGATGACTACAAAATGCTCTTTATGGTTAAAAATGCCTTTCAGACTTATTTGTTAAAACTTTGGGAACTCGTCTTTCTTTCTATTACCACTTATCAATTACTCGTTGTTCCTCAATCTCATAAAAAACAAACGACTACACTAACCTTTGTGAGATTGAATGCATCAAGGAGTCCGTTACCAGGGACTTGTCTACCAGAACTGCCACAAAAGGAAGAAAAATGTTCCTTTGGCTCAACAATACAACAAAGCATCTTGTCTGTCAAAATTATTAGCAGAGTTTTGATCAAGTCATTTATTTGATGTCCAACTTGGTCCAAAATATGTTTGCAGTAGTCTGTAAAGGTTATTTTGAAGCTAAAGTACTGTTTAAATTGTTTTACATAAAACATGAAAATACTTTTTATTCCTTTCCAGTAACACATTTTAAACAATCTTCTTAAATAAGGCAAGTTGGCTCTTACAGTTCAACACATTCGCAGTTGTCTACAGAGAAATTTACTATCGCTGATTGATTGATTTTCGTCATTTCTTCTTCTTGCAGATACAGGAAGTGTGATCGGATTGCGAAGGGAAAAAATGACCGCACCTTTAAACCATTTAAAAGTAGGTTTCTAATAAGGCTAACAAGGATTATTGTGTTCTCTCTTAAATAAGTAATACTAAGGTATCTAAATTCTTATCTAAATATGATTTGATTTTCTTTTCTTCCTCAGTCCAGTCGCGGCATCTTTTAGCCTCAGGATCCAGCAGTGATTTGACCTGCAGCGTCGGAGATATAGGGGAGGAATCATCCTTGATTACGTGTGGAATCAGGAAGCAGTCACTGCGTAAAACTAAGCCACGCTCATACAGGAGATTGCTCAAATCTGATTCCGAAGAGGAGGAGGAAGAAACAGAAAATGAAAAGCCAGGCAATCCAAACACTGCTGGTGCTTCACGTCAAGGTAACCAGCTGTTACAGGTCACATTTTTTTTAACTAGCTGCCATGTGTAATAAGTAGATTTGGGTAAATAAAATATCCAAGTGTTTCTCCTCAGCACCAGCATTGTTTTTATTCTATTTTAGCATAACTTCACCTCTGTGTATTAAAAAAAAAAATGACTAGATCATGTAATTTAGGTGAAGTTTTAGCTTTCATTGCTTGTTTTGTCTTTTTGTACAGTGAACCCTTGTTTTTTGCGGGGGGATTGTTCCAAAAATAACCCATGAAAGTCAAAATCCAAGAATTGGTACAATTTATTGTTTTACAATTACTATTAAAAACTTATCCAGGTTTAAATCCCCCTTCCTCAAGGAACGCTTTAATTTTATTGTCCAAAAACACTTCTGCTCCAGCAGTATTCGCAGAGGCGGTCTCTACGTGCAGAGAAATATTAAGTCCAAAACGTTTCTTAGGTTACAAACCAGCCCTTGTTTGCATTAAATATGCTTGGTACTGCATGAACAGCGCTCGTATCTGCACCCTCCTCCTCTTCCCTGTCATTAATGTCATTGCTGTCAGTTTCTATTCAGTGTTCTAGCTTTTTTGCAGATAAAGTTCGTATCCAGCGAAATGTTCTTTTTTCTGCAGTCATTAATCCAAAAAGCCATTGCAGACACCATCCATACCATGGTCTTGTTGCGGACAATTGCAACCCCATCCTTATTAAAAATGTATTAATGCTTTCGTCCTTGTATTACTTTCTTCCTTCTTTATGGAATGAACGGGAGATTAATTCCGTAATGGCTACCTACAGCAACATACCTTTTACGCTCCTTTAGCATGTCCAGAAGTTTAACCTTTTCTGCATTAGTTAGTTTCCTCTGCCTTTATGGCCCGTCCACAAGTGCCTTTGTCGTTGACATTATGTTTTGGAGACAATTTGCAAACTTCATTTTTGACATGCTGTTTTAAGTAAATTTATATTAAAATATAAAACCGTAATGTTATTGACACAAATGTAGAGAAGAAGCGTGGAGAATGCAGAACACATTGCACAATGCGAAGCACCGAGGCTGTGAAAGGGGAACTGTGGTATAGCGAGGGTTCACTGTATTTTAAACATATGCCTGTTAAATTAAAATGTATTTTTGCCTTCGATCCTCTTTAGTGTTCCAGCATTGCAACCTTTTTTTTTTCAGTTTTATTTTTATCATTTTGTTATATTGCTATCCCTTTACAAGTTAATTGCTATTTTATTGGCTGAAAATATATATCGTATAAAATAGCAACCATGTCTTATAAAGTGTTCCAGTTATTTATTTTTTCTGAATGTCATAAATTCAGTAGGACTTTTACCACACTGCTAAAGCCTCAGCTGCATGTCACTTAATGAATCTGGAAACTAAACAAATATTAAAGCCCAGTTTGCTCTGTGTATTAGTGAAAAAACATTAAAGAAACGAAAAGTCAAATATTGTTGGAACCCCTAGTAAATCTAACCTATTCTCTATATTTTGAATTAGTTTTACATAACTTGCCTCAAAACATATATTGACCAGAGTTAATGTTTCTGCCAGTTTTCACTATTCTGAAGGTATGATAACCCTGTAAACCTCTCCAAAATAGACTTAAGCTGCTAAAAGTGGCGTTTAAGGTCAAATAGAAAACCATGGAAAGACATTCCTGTCGGTCTCCGAGAGAGAACTTTCTTCTGTTCAAAGAACCCAGCTTATGCTCAACATGAAGCATAAGGATTGAATATTGACGCATTGTTCTTTTTGTGTTCAAGGCTTTTCATCGCAAGATGGCATTTTACTGACAGACGACCAGCTCGTTGATCCAATGAAGAATCGCCGGGCTCTAGCCAAAAGTACAGGCAGCAGACTGAGACTGTACAAGGTAAAGAAAGGTTACTGTCTCTCTCTACTTCTATGTCCTACCTAATTGAAACTGGGCAGATTTGTATTGTTTGGAAATAGTTTTTCCATCAATATTTTTCGCTCTAATTTGATACAGTTTGTTGACAATTTGGCCAATAACCCTTCAACCTGTGGATCCGTTTAAATACGTGAACTGAAAAAACTAGCATTAACCATCTCCTGATTTATAAATCAATATTTAACTATTAAAGGTGCTTGTTTTCTCCTTTAAAACTAATTTGTTTCCACCCAAATAGCACACACATCTGTTAAGATATTCATAATTAAAGCACAAATTATTATTTCCAAATAATACAATCCCCAGGACTTCATGTTACTGATTTTTTTTCTCCTTTTTTATTTTTGTCTGTTTTGAATATACTAAGATAAGATACCTTTGATATCCAGTGTTTCTTATTTTCCACTTCTGACTTTATGCTTTAAAGTAAGCTGTCTGCATGATCATAATCTCCTTTTGTGAACTACAGATTCTCAAATATGTTACAGGGCTTTCTCTCCATTTAAAGAAGTATTACATGTTAAAGAATAATGCATTTACTAACTTGGTTTGTGTCTATTACCTTTATATCCTTGGTTTTAATGTCTTCAGTGTTTCTTCTTTTGAATAAAAAAGGCAGTTTTAGTTTATTACCTCTACTGCAATTGCATTTCACTGAATAGACCTTCCATTCAATGTATTTTTAAAACTGTGCTGCTTTTTTTCTTTTTCTTTGACAGAGTTTTATTTTAATTGGCATTTAGTGGAGAATATAATTTATATTTCACAGGCAAAGTCACAATATCTGAGCTAGAGATTGAGCAATCTGGGTTTTTCAAGGCCGATAATCTTTATTTTGACATCTATCTAATCAATCCCCAATATCTGCTGGTGGTCATAATTTTTTGTTTTGGGCTGATTCCTTCAGCCTATATTGCTTTCGCTTCCTCCATTTATATGATTTAAAATGACAGAATAACAGAAGTCACTTAAGTCTGAATAGAGAAATTATTAACAAATAAAAGAAACCATATTAACCATGGATTGCAAATTGAGGTAGTGGAAATGATTGCGCATTGCGTGATCCCAAGGCATGGCTGCTGAATGCACTAATGAATTGGCGACAGCATGCACATACAGACCAACGCATTAAATGGAAAGTTGTTGATGGATTTATCTCTCTATCTCTGATCTGAACCTGTCCAGCAATAATAGTGGTATCCTGTGTAAGTTGGGTTTAGTTGGCATCTCATAGTCATTTCTTTGGTTATGACTCGAATACGCTGGCTGAATTTTGCTGTTTAAAGTATAAACTAATCTTAGAAACCTGATCTGTTTGCATTATGTGTCTATATCTTTGTTAGTTTAATATGCTGTTTTCCTGCTTATGATACTACTTTTTTTTGCTTTTCCTTTACTGCTTTGGTCAAGTTGTTTAGTAACAATCACTATATTTGATAATTGAAAGTTGAAATCTCCTTTTTTATTCTTTTTTTTTTTTTTTTTAACTGTTCAGAGACAATACAAAGGTTTAATTAGTGTGTACTTTTATTTTTAAAAAGTACTGCTATTGTTTTATTTTTATCCAGGATACCGATCCAATTTATTTAAGATGAGGTGTATGTTGATAGCTTAGGATTTGCTAAGTCAATGGCAAACTGAGAAGCTTTTAGGTTTTTAAATGCTTTACTATGCTGTGCTATTGACTCTGTCCTTCTTTAATGATGATGCTGCTAGGGTTGTCACGATACTAAACTTTTCAACTCGATACCGATACTAAGGAAAATATTCGATACTCAATACCATTTTCGATACCACAAGGATAAAAACAAAGGATCCAAAATTCTACAGAAATATTTTCATTAATAAATAAAATACAGTAAAGGTTGTATGCTGTGCACTATATTAAGCAAGCTTGATAAAAAACTTATAAAATTAAAATTAAGTGTTCCTTCCTTGGCTATGCTTTGCACACATAACAATGAAACTAGCCAAACCGGTTAAGAAACAAAAATAATTCTCAGCAGCTGCAGTTCTTACAAAAAGAAAAAGTCTGAAACTGAAAACTGCGTAGAATTATTCAATCACACAGTGCTCTGAAAGTGCATTGTCCTCTATTCTGCACTCTAGATGAATGACTGCTTAGGTGCCACTGGTGGTGGCACTGTATCGATACTTTTAAAAACGAGTATTGTATCCGGATACAACTTTTCAGTATCAATACTTTTTTGAGTTTCGATACTTTTGACAACCCTAGATGCTGCACAGAAAAGCTTCTGTTTTTGTTTATTTTTAATATAGTCTCTGCAAGATTTTTGATATACTACTCCAACAAAGATTAATCAGGCTTTTAAAATGATCAGAGAATACCTTAGCTTCATTATGAGATAGTAGAGATATCTGCTTCGCTTTGACACGTATACCTACTGTCTTGCTGATGAACTGAAGTGCTAGGCTAATCTAGCATGTTTACGCTCTCATTTGAAATTGCTTGTTGATAATTTGGCCAATATTCCCTCTACTTGTCAGTCCAGTTAAACACGTGAACTGAAAGAACTAGCATTAATATCCCGATTTATAAATATGGCACCTTTCTTTGAGTGTTAAATCATAGCCTTTATTGACTCATGTTTCAGCTGCTTTCATCTAAACCAGATGCTGTCTAAATACAGCACACAGAAGCTCACATGCACAGAGGTGACTGCAGTAGTTCCCCAATAGTGTGTTTATTGTTTGACACCAGATAGACAGCAGAATTATACATTTTTTTATCTGTGCTGTTGGCTGCAGCCGAATGCCTTTGCTTAACTCTCTGCCTTTTATTTTTCTTTGCTAACACTTTGTGCTTAACACTGCTCCTCCTTTCCCCTGTCACTGCTGCTGATTGTCATTGCTGCATGCTACTATTAATAGTGTTACTATGGAACCCGTCTTGCTGGTTGGCTTAGGCAGTCCCCTCCTTCACAGGCACAGGAGAATGCAGAAGAGACGCAGCACAGAGAAACTTACCCAGAATCGAGATGGAGGGGGAGCCCAGTGGCAAAGCTGCAGAAGCAGCTGCAGATACACTTGTACCGCCTGCCTTCGTACATCCTGAAGACTGGCTCTCAGTCTTTGCCGTGGCAGATGCCTCAGTTTGTGGATCAGTCCCTGACTTTAACAAAGCCTCCTGTTTCACAGCCATCGTGTAACATCACAAACTCTCCACCAGAAGTGCTGCAACTTGAAATGCACCATGCTTCTCGATTGTCATCACCTCCCATTGCAGACTCTCCACTGTTAGGTTTGCCTTTGCCTGAGGTGAAGCCAATTTCTGATTTTCTCAGTCCTGCACCACCATCAACTCCACATCACCCAACATCTGCTTCGTGGTCATCTATGGCCGAGGTTTTTTCACAGAAGTATTACCAGGATTGCAAGTCTTCAGTGAAGCGTCCAGTATGCTCAGCTAATGCACATAAAACTGAGTTAAGGAAGCAACAGAAGCAGAAGGATACGAACGGGGTGCCGTACGAAGAGGACGAGGCGACGTCTTCTATAACAGAGACTGGGCTGCAAAGCTGTCCAACAACTGATCCACAATATGTGCTTCATTCTCAGAATCCTCCTGAATGTGGATCAGTGAACAACCTGACAGGGTTAACTAACGGCTTTCCCCAAAAGGGCCTGTTGCAACACAAGCACAAGATCCGTGTAGACTTTAAGGTGAGTCTTTGATTTGAAAAATGTTTGCTATTAACTGATCACTCCTACAGACTTTAATACTTGTTTTGGCTGAATCACGTCACATGCCTTTCAGAATAAAATGACAACTTGATGTTTTGTACACAATCCTGTAGAGACTTCTGAAAAACATTTTTTGTCATGCATATAAAACCCTTCTAATATAACATTTAAGACATTTTTGCTTAAAAAACACACAAAAACATTTAAAAATAGGTGTTGTAAATTGAGATATTGGAAATACTAGTGATATAACTGTGAATGAATAAAATTACTTTCCCATATATATTACACAGGCATGGGTTTGGGAAAAAGTTAGCAAGTATAGTGGATTAAGTGTGCATGCTGAGCCACTTGTGACGCTACAACTAAAACTGTTTGCACTGACTTCAATGCGAAAGACAAAGCATTTGTGTGTTTATGGACGGCATATTTCTATATTACAACCTCCACTAGAATGGCTTCTATTTGCGACATAGCATAGTGTGGGTTAGCCTTATTAATAAGGCAGCTTTAAGGCCTCAGACGTTTGTTAATCACTCTTTCTTTGTTTGTGAATTTTAAAAAAACGTATATAAAACTATTTGTGCCATTTTGTTATCTAAAATCCATATTGAGGTTGGATTGTGTGTGTCTGTGTATACCTGTCTAGCCCTCAGAGTGAGGACCATTTTTCCAGTTTCACCATCAAATTGAGGACTAGTTGTTGCAAAGTGAGGACATTTTGCCGGTCCTCACATACTATTTTGCTAATGTTTAGGTTTACGGCTAAGGTGTCAATTGGGTTAGGGCCGCGGTTCTCAAAGTGTGTGGCGTGACCCACTGGTGGGGAATTGAGACGTGACAGGTGGGGCGCGCCAAGTTCCGGTGTGTTGTGTGACTATAAATGTAGAACGTGTGAGAGCAAACTGTCCTTATAGCTGTATGTTGCCGCTTTTTATACCAATCAAACCCACAAAGTAATCATTACTAGCCTACATGCAGTCTAATTAAAAGAACATTAGATATGAGAAACATTTCACCTGGAACTGAAGTGCCAAAATAATGATTGACGTGACGTCGGCATATTATTTGTAATAATGTTGTGTGTTGCCAACTCAGCGACTTTGTCGCTATATTTCAGACCCCTCCAGCGACTCTTTTTCAAAAAAGCGACTAGCGACAAATCTAGCGACTTTTGGAGACTCTTAGGTGAAAGCACGTATCGTTCCTTTTCTTGTCCTCCAGCGGCAGGTGCTGCCGTGGGGCGCCTCCCCCATCCCAACCCCGTTCTCCCCCGCTATCACAGGAGTCCCTCTCAGCGCTGCAGTCAGAGACACAGCATGTTTACCCTCAGCGTCCAGACTGCAAATAAAGCGCACATGCGCCGGGATTGACGGCGCAGGTTGATCATAAATAACTGAATTTGAAATATTTTATCTTAAATAAATAACGGCGTTTGATTCACACAGCCACATGTTCATATTTCTAGTTTGGAGTGGAGAGGGAGTATCCACTCATCGGGCAGAGAGCTGTGTGCATTTTTCTTCCCTTTGCCACATCATATCTCTGTGAGATGGGCTTTTCAACTGTTGCTTCACTGAAAACAAAGCATGACAACCCCGTTTTGATAAACTGTGCAATGCAAAACAGGCTCATTGCAGCCACTAATGCAGGGATAAATAGACCTGTCTTGCCAGATGGATTTCACTTCTTTTCTTTTATTAACAGATTGCAGAGTGGCACTTTAATTTTTTCTATCTTTGAGCCGCATTTTTATTTTCTTTATTTTTGTTTTTATTTTCTTTATTTTTGAGCTTGCTGTTATTTGATGTAGATAGTTTGTATTTAGATACTACTTGTTACTTCAATAAAATTGGAACATTTTAAGATTGTTTCATATTTCATTAGCATTGTGTTGGGGCGATGGGGACAGGCGGGGCTTGAAAATTCCCCCTTGTCCAAAGTGGGGAATGACAGAAAAAGTTTGAGAACCACTGGGTTAGGGTGTGGTATGCATTGGTGATGGTTAGGGTTAGGGCATAAAAAGGGTTAAAAATGACTGAAAATCAATGGGAGTCAACGCATGGTCCTCACTACAATGGCAGAACGAGTGTGTGTGTGTGTATATATATAAAAAAAATATATATATATATAAAAAAATTTGAAACTGAGCTACTGAAATGAAATGGCAGACATAGGAAATTTTAAGTCCTTAACTCTGTTTGCTCTCAATTCCTCCAGGAGGACTGTGCTGTCCATAATGTGTGGCTAATGGGCGGCCTAAGCGTTCTCACCTCAGTCCCAACCACACCTCTGCCTGTCTGCTTGCTTTGTGCCAGTAAAGGAAAGCATGAGGTACCTCAGTTGCTAAAACTTCAAAGTTGCATAAATTCCCTCAAAACTTCTTTTTAACCTAAATGTCTTTCGTCTTCCAGATGATATTTTGCCAGATCTGCTGTGAGCCTTTCCACAATTTCTGCCTCACACCTGATGAGCGCCCTAAGGAGGAGTCTAAGGAGAACTGGTGCTGCAGGCGCTGCAAATTCTGTCACGTGTGCGGCCGTAGAAGCAAGAAGTCAAAGGTAGACGGCGTCACTTTGACAGCTGGAAGAAATGAGCTCTTGTATCTTTATGAATTTTACTAGACATAGTCATAAAAGTGGAATATAAATTGGTACTGTGTTTTTGTTCAGCCTGTCTTGCAGTGCAAGGTATGTCAGACATGTTACCATCCCTCCTGCTTGGGACCAACCTACCCGAAGCCAATGAACTCCAAAATGGCCTGGGTAACTCCTTCAGATTCCTCACAGTGCACTAAGATCATAAAAACTGAGGCTGATGTCATGAATGCTTGTTTTGTTTCCTTTAGATGTGTATGACATGTATTCGATGTAAGAGCTGTGGAGTGACTCCTGGGAAGACCTGGGACATGGCCTGGAACCACGAACTTGACCTCTGTCCTGATTGCACCAGCCTCAATGAGAAAGGTGGGATCTCCACAACATGCCAGCTCATCCAAGCTTAGTCCTGACAAACAAATTATTTTAAGGCTTTAGAGCTGATAGGTTTATTTCATTATTTTTTCACTTTGTTTCAGGGAATTTTTGCACTGTCTGTCATAAGTGCTATGAAGATGGTAACCAAAGCTCTAAAATGATCCGATGTTCAGAGTGCAGACACTGGATTCACTATGAATGTGAAGGACTCTCAGGTAAAATCTTGCCTGGTCTACTTTTTTTCTGGAGCAAAAAATACACTTTTTATAATATTTTTATAGTTTTATTAACAAATGACTCTGATTTTAAAATATTTTACATGTGTTTTAAATAGTTCTGTATTTAAACTCACGTTGAACATGTCTGTGTTTGCAGATGAGCTTTTTGGGCTTATGCTAAGTCCGCCAGACAAAGTACACTTCATGTGCTCAGCCTGCAGACAGAACCCCACTGAACAAGGCAGCTTGAAGGAGGTGCTGCAGAGCAGGCTGCTATCCGGGCTGGAGGAGGTGCTCGCTGACCTCCTCTCATCCGGTAGCACTCAGCACCTTCTCCTCTGTAAGGAGGTGAGAGCTACCACGAGATGCATTTTCAAAAACAATGTGAGCGGCCTCTAAAGACACCTGCTGTCATTGTGATAATATTCTTATTGCATTTCAGTGTCAGGGGTCAAATGGGACTCCGTCTGTCAGGGCGCAGCAACAAGTCTGTGATCTGCGAGCTGTGGAGGAGAAGTTTAAACAGGGCAGTTACACATCAATAGTGAGTCGTTTTTTTATTTGTCTTCTTTTGATCGTTTCATAAATTCCTTCCCCGGTTAACCTGATGTGTTTGGAAATGTTAGAATCTGATTTGTTAATTTTCTAGGTCTTATTTGTACAGAAAATTGATACACTGTGCGGGGGAAAAAAATACTATGTCTGTTTCCAGACCCAATTCGTTTTTGGTCTAAAAGTCTCAGTCTGTGCATTCATCTATCCGTTTGACCATCTGCGTTTTGATTCATACATTTATCTTTTAGTCACATGTTTATATAGTCTATTTCAAAAGACACTCCAGTGTCAGATTAAAGGGTCTTTTTGCTCTCTGTATGGTATTTGGAAGATGTAAGAGTGGTAGTAGTCAGAAATTAACTCATCATGGTTCTTTTGCAGATTTATGAGGAAATATTTTGCTACATATCGGTCCCTCCGTTTGCTCTACTGTTTACTTTTCCTCACACTCGTCAGCCTGCTCTCCACCTTTTGCTGCTTTCCTTCTTTTTATTCCCAATTTTTTGGTTATATGATTAACTGCTGACCACTTGAGGCATATATGCAGTAAATTCATGCTGAGCTGTTTTTGTTAACTGATTAGAAACCTATTAAAGTTCAGTCAGAGTGCTCAAAATGTCCTGTATTTTTGCTCACTCAGAAAGCCTTTCATCTGGATATTACATCTGTGATGAAAAGGTGGATGACAGAAGAGGAACTCCTTCCTGAGGATCAGAGGCCAACAAATCAATCCAAAGCACGCTACGTTCAAGTGAGTTTATCACTTTAAGTATTTCTTGTGTTTGATCTCCATGTATCAGTGTTAGTTTTGGCTTGTTTGCAGGAGTGTTTCTTTGAAATCAAACAGTGAAACGTTTAAAGTTGAATTGTTTTTCTGGCAGGTTATGAAACAGGTTTTCAGCAGATTTTCCGGGAGCCACCTAAAGAAGTGGAGCTCATGGTCTGAACAGATGCCAAGGTGAGCACATTCAGCTAATCTTTACTCCTTCCTCACCTCTTTAGCAGATCCAATAAGGTTTAAAAAAATAAAACAAACAGTCTTAAATTCTTGTAGTAGATGTGTCACTCTATTTGAAGAGCTTTTTCCTCACCAGCTGCAAACTAATTGGTAGGAGGCTTTTGCACAGCGGAACAGATACATTTCCACTAACAGCCATGAATACAGAGCTGTTTCAGTCTCCTAAAGGGATATGTGAATTGGTTTGAAACTGAATGAGCATCATGCTCCAAGCCGGGCTGTATGTTTTAAAAATTCTCGCTCTCTTAGTTTCACTCTTGACATAAATGAATTCTTTTAACTATAAGCCCAGATGTTTCTTTTTAAACCCGCTTGGATTTCCCGTGTCCCGGATGACTGATAACCTTGACTAACTTATCCTTAAGCAGCTACTTTAATAGCCTCTCTACCTTGTGATTCTTAGTGGCATGCTCCCTGAGGCTGTCCTTCCTCCTTCGATGGAGCACAGCTATGCTCAGTGGATGGAGAGAGAATTCCACAGCAGGGGACCAAAGGACCTGAAAACTCAGACCAGCTCCAAGCCATCTTCTATACCTGTACTGGAGGCTCGAGCTACAATCAGTGTCTCAGATTGTTCGCAAGGTAAGGAAACATTTCACTCTGTCAAACAAGGTATTTTCGTTGTTTTTTTTTTCTCTCTAGTTTACCTTGTTAATCTGGTTCCTGCAGACACTGCTAAGATGAAAGACCTAAGGCAGTGTGCTCTGTGTCAGCAATATGGAGATGCTGCTCCTAGTGTGAGTTTATGCAAAAGTTTTATTTCTCTTCTCTCATTCCTAAAAAAATGTCCTCAGTTTTTTTTATTTATCCTAAATGAAAGTGTTTTTTTTTTTTTGTTTCTTTTATGGCTTGGTGAATTACTGTGAACACGTTTCTGTCCTGATAGGATGCAGGGCGGCTGCTGTACTTGGGGCAGAATGAGTGGGCCCATATTAACTGCTGCCTGTGGTCTGCAGAGGTTTATGAACAGAATAGCGCTCTTCTACAAGTGCACAGTGCTGTCTCAAGAGGGCGCCACTTGGTAATTATTTTCCCTCAGATTTAATTAAATAGAGTTATGCAAAGGCTTTTACACAGTTAAAGTCTGGAAATTGATTTTTCTTTAAAAAGGAAAGTGTATTAGCTAGTATTCCTTGCGTACTTAAATGTATTTCTGTCATAATCCATGGATATATAACTGTTTAATTATAACTCTTAACAATCAGAAAACTTTAATGTCGGTTTTCTATCAGAGATGGATATAGTTGGGCCTTTGCCAGGTTTTTAATGTATCTGTTTATAACTCTATCCCTCTTAGCATTGCTGTTTTATACTTTGCTTTTATTGTTTATTTTTTTGTTAAATTTAAATCAATCAAATGAAATGTTCATGCATTCAAAGTTGTTTTTTTAGTTCATAGAACAGGGTATTTCCAACACTTAAAAACTTGTAAAAACTCTTAAAGTAGGTGTACTTGCCCTTAATCTGAGTAGTAAAATAAGGTGATCTGACAATGAAATAAGTATTTTTACTCTTAAAATAGATCATTGGAAATTATTCATGACATGATGATGCAATTGTTTTTAATTATTTTAGATGTAAATTGTCTTATTCCCCTGGCAAAGTGTCTCACTTACCTATCTCTCCTATTATTCATCCATCCTGCCATTTATTTACCAAACTATAGAGCCATTTGTCCATACAGGCAGTCTGTGCTTTATGCTACTTCCATATTTTAACTGACCAGTCATTAATCTGACCTTTGGTATCCATACTTGTAAAAAAAATATGAACAAAAAATATTGCGGAACTGTAAGCAGAGCATGTACATTTAATCAAAGTTGTAACTTTTGTTCATCGTCCTTCTTAATCTAGCGCTGTGATCGATGTGGTCAGTGTGGAGCCACGGTGGGCTGCTGTCTGGCCACCTGCCTGAGTAATTACCACTTTATGTGCGCTCGTGCAGACAAGTGTGTGTTCCAGCAGGACAGGAAGGTCTACTGCCACAAACACAGGGATCTCATGAGCTCAAAGGTGAGGGGATGAGAAAATGTTTTATTACAATTTTTTTTTTTTTTTTTTTAGCTTTTTTGTTTTTCAGATTCTGTTGTCATAAAACTTTGAAATCATTGTGATTGTTTGATTCCAGATGGTTTCTGGGAAAGGTTTTGAGGTCCCTCGCCGGGTTTATGTGGACTTTGACGGGATCAACCTCAGAAGAAAATTTCTAACAGGCCTTGAGCCAGAAACCATAAACATGACAATAGGTAAGAATAAACATGTTTGTTTATTCTGTGCACGGTACCGTGAGACTTTGACTCATGAAGCACTACTGAAACATGTGCAGGGTTGTATTATGGGCTGTGTTTATTGTGTAACTTCATTTTGAGGGATCATTTGGGCTTTCTTATAATAAATCCACAGCAAACACTCTGCCTTCCTTTACTCTTCATACTCTTACAGCTAGAATTTTAACTTTTCAAAGATAGTTAGATAACAACAAAAAGTCCCGCAAATTAAGTTGTAGGTCCGTAATTCAAACTGATTGCAGTGACTCTTTGTTTGCACAAGGTATTGGGTATTCTTTATGTCTAGCCATATGGGGCTTCAACTCCTATATGTACAACAAATGGTTTAAAAAAATACTTCAATTTAACACCAGGTTCAAAGCAGTGCCTTTGCAACTTTATAATATGGCGGTATATTTTAGCAGCCCAACCATCTGCCTCTATAGAAACTGAGGACTTTTGTAGACTTAAAAAGGTGAATTTATCAGTTTCAGAATGTAGCCTTTTAATGGTAGCTGTAGTGCACAGCTTGCGTTTTCTCTCTGTAATTTGGATATTACTGTGCTAAATGTTCCCTTTTTTCCCTCCTTCATTTTTAGGCTCTCTCCAGATTCAAAAACTGGGTGTGTTGTCTGAGCTGTCTTCAAATGGGAGGATGCTTTATCCTGTTGGTTATCAGTAAGTGCGCGTTGTTCACAGAAAGTCAAGCCTGGGTATTTCTAAGGGACTTCTATATATTAGTTGTGGTGTTAGTAGACGCATTTTTCTGATGTCTTATACCCTTTTGTGCACTTTATATTTTAATAATGCATTTTCAGACAACAGCAATGTTCACTTGAAATAAACATTTTTAAAAGCAGTGTTAAAACTGGTATGTGTTACTGTTTCTAAAAAGACTGAATCCAGTTTTCCTGTGACTTTTTGAGGAGTTTACAACAGGATCATCTTGTTATGAAGTATTTTTTAAAACTAATTCTCTCCCTTTAATCTGTAGATGCTCTCGGTTGTATTGGAGTACTGTGGACCCTCGCAGGCACTGTAGGTACACCTGTAAGGTGACAGAAGTGAGCACACCTCTTCCTGGTGAAGAGCAAGATCTCAGGTCGGACAGAGAGAAGAACCACACCATAGTCCATAGTCCCAGTCGCCACAGAGGTGAGCAGGTTTCCATTATAAGTAATAAAATAACTAAAGCTAATAATAATCAATATATATATATATATATATATATAAAAGATCTGGACTAAAAAGAAAAGATTGTTACACATCATCTGGGATTGTTATCATGAAACGCTGTTGATATGTATGTATTTACCTTTTTATGAGCAGACATGGAGTCCCCAGACCGCAGCAGCCCCCCTTCCAGCCCAGTAAAGTCCACCACCCCATCTCCCAACTCGAAGACGCTCAATACATCATGCCCTAAGAGTCCTGGTTACTCACAGACCAGGAAACCAGCAGGAGGATCATCACGTCCCCTCCCTTCTCCAGGTCTGTCTCGTATTTGTTCTATTTTAGTTTATTCTATATATTCATCTGCAGATACTGTAGCTCACAGATTCTTTATCTTCATAGGAACCTTTAAATGTTTTCTTTTGTTTAGATTTTCTGCGATTTCTTTTATCTTTGATTTCAGGGTCTGCTCCTCATAAGTCTCATCACATCCTCACTCTGAGGGACCTTGATGACACCAGGCGGCCTCGCAGGCTCTCATCAAGAAGCCGCTGCAGCTCCTCGCCAACAGAAACCAACCCAGGTGGAACAATGAGCCACCGTCCTGGAGGCTGCACTGGACCTAGAGGCACTAGGTTTAGCTCCCCTCCAAGATCCACCACCTTAGGATCAGCTTCTCCTCCTCTTTCTCAACAAAACCCAACTTCTGCAGCCTGGAACTCCAGTTCGAGATCCGCTTCCAGCATTTCTGGGGGTTTATCGCCTGGAGAAGGTGGAGTCACCAACTCTCCCAGAGGGGCGCAAAACTTTAAAATCACAACGCCAGTGACTGCAGAGGTCCCACAAGACTTCCTGGCATCATCTGAGGCAGAGGATGCTGCTGTGGCCACAACGAATGGGATCTCCCTTGCCCCTGATAACCTGGAGGAGGAAGTAGCTCGGCTCATGTCTCAGGAGCTGCCGTATACCATGTTTGACGCTGACGCAGATGTGGTTTCAGTTCTGGGCACAAAGCTGGAGTTTGACGAGGCCCTTCTTGCTGAGAATGTGGATCTGGGCAATAGTCAAACGGAGGGCGGGACACAAGATGTGGAAATGCGAGAAGACAATCAAGAGAATAGCTCTGAGGATGAAGACTCAGGCCATTACTCCAAGATTTCACGTACAGTCGTGTGTAACACAGGAAGCGGCTCTGACTCCTCAAGTCAGCCTGCATCAACACAGTCGATCTCCCAGTTAGACGGTGCAGACAGCGGGTCAGAGGCAGAGGAAAGTGAGGACAAAGTTGAAACTCATGCCGTTCAGGGAACACCTACAAAACATCTAACAATTGCTCTGCGGAGGCTGGAATCCATCTTTAATCTGCCAAAGTCAAACACTGAGAACCAAACATCCAAACCGGACGATCTGGAAAGTTCTTCCTCACCTGTTTTCCTGGAGTCCAATTCAATGACGGACGACCTGTCCTTGCAGGAAGAGGAGGTCCCATTGACCTCAGAGACCCCAACATCTCAGAGAGACTTGATATTGGATCCATCATCAGGTCATTTTGTTTCAGCCAAAGATGGCAGGACAGTTAACTCAAGCCAGAGTGCAGCTCCCGACAAAGAGGACAGTTCCTCCAATGACTCCAGTGATGTGTTTAAAGACGATTTAAATGATCCAGATTTTTCCCCTGAATCTGAATCCAAAAAATCTCCTACATTGCAGAAGAAAACCATCATTGTAAAGAGGAAACTGTGTGCAACAGGCCCCTCTATGCCTCTGCTACCTAAACAGTATCTCCAGCTGAACCCAAACATCACCCTCATAGCACCTCAGCTCCGGCAGACTATCGGTATCGGCTCGGCCTCTTCTCCTTCTTTCCATGCAGTTCCACATTCAGTCTCCTCCCCGATCATCATAAATGGCTTAAACACGATACCCATTCAGCCTGCGCCTAATCCAGCCAGACCCATCGTGATCCGCTTGGACAGCTCGAGATTGGAGGCTCCCAAGCAGGCTGTGGGGAGTCAGAACCAGTCTGGGACAGTGAACCCACCCGCCCAACAGACCCCTGTCCGCCATGTCTTGCTTGTCAACCGACAGGGTCATATTCTCGTCAAAGACCCCAAGTCCAACACTTTCCAAAACCTTGATGGAAACTCACCTGCGTATAATAAAATAAACCAAATCGCTAAAATCCTCCACAGTAGAACCAGTCCAAACCAGTCTGTTCCACAAGTTGTCTTAAAGCCAACCCCCAGCTCCTCCAATTCGAAAAACATCACTCTTCTCCCCAACCACATAATGCCAGAGAAAAAAGTCATTGTCAAAGTGTTGCCAGTGAAACCGGCCGCGGCTCCAGCTCCTTCGATCCCAGTTGGCATCCAGACTTTTACACAAGCTAGTTTCACCAAGTTCGAAGACTGCACCACCCAGGCCATCCTCAATAGAGTGACAGCCACCGAAATGGAGACGCAGCGGCAGGCGCCGACTATTCTCAACAACGTTCTCAGGCAGAAGGCCAGGAAGCAACAACCAGCACCAATCCCTGACATGGAGGATTCAGATCAGTCGCCGGCGGGGCGTTCAGAGTCCCACAGTATTTTCCAGAATCAACTAGCGTCCCAGCAGGTCAGAGTGAAGAGGGCATCTTCACTTCCAGAAAGACAGTCCAAGAAGAAATCAAAGATAGACTTTTTAAAGGATCCATCTAGTGAATCAGAGGACATTAAGGAAGCAAGGTACGACATTTTAAAATGAATCAAATGCTAAGGTTGTAGTTGGAACACAAAGAATTGAAATCTCTGACTAACTTGCAATTATACTCAACTTACATAGAGCCTTTCTGCTAATATTTAGTACTTTTTAGAGACGAGTATTAAACCACCTGCAATTGTAATTCTTATGAGCTGCAGGATCAGAGCTTAATTGGACATTATTTACACAGAATGTTTGTTTACAGTCTGGATAACTTGGGTGTGAGCTATCAGAGTCGGCATCTATACCTAGCTAAAACTAAAGACTGTACATGGAGAGTCGGCTTGGGTTATTTCATCAAAATTAATTTTAATACTTGCTTATAGATTCTAGAGAGCTTATTTTAATTTAATTTCAATTAAAACACAAAAAATATCCTCAAAGATCAATTTTTTCTTATCCCGGTTTTTTAATGGAAACTGTAACCTGGCTTTTTATGGTGCTTCTAGAGAAGTAGCTTTTACCTCTGATCGACCTTAAACCAAATTTGGAACACCTATCTCTCCTACCAGCAAAAAAGACAGAAATCCCACATTATTCTGGCATTTAACAAGTGGTAGTCTGGAAGTATATAATAGGTGGCTTGTATTTTTTTTTATCAAACCAAGCGTCTCCAGAATCAACGCTTTATCAACAAAAATTTCTCTTGATCCTGACAGGGATAAAGTGAGTAATCCTGAGCGAATAAAGATCGCCGTTCCGCCACCTCCTACACATAATTTTAGGTAAGTTTGTTTTACAAACAACCTCAAAGAAAACGGGTCACAATTGAGATTCAAGAATTATTTTTACTTTAATACACAAAATACACACAAGGTTGACTTGAAAGGTTTCACGTTACTAAACAGGCTAATTTAAATGTTTTTTTTTCTGTCTCCTTCCAGGCATCCTCAGGCTGAGTGTCCGGCTCCATCACGGAGCAGCGTTCCCTCACAGTGTAAAACTCACATGTGGATCAGCTCCCGGCATGGAGAGCTCTCTGATTGGGCTCCGTATGCAGGTCTCTTAATCATCAGATCTTAATCATCCACTTGTGTTTGGTGTTTGTGTATGAAACTGATTCAGCTTTTACTCCCGGTTTTACAGGTTTTAGCTCTGAAGATGATGCCCCTGCACTAAAATACAGGAAGAAGACTTGCATGAATCAGCCTCACTTACGCTTTGAAATCACCAGTGATGACGGCTTCAGCGTTAAGGCCAACAGCATAGAAGGTTGGAGTAGCCCAGCTACTTGGATATCAATGTGGAAATAGAAGAAGAACCATTGACAATAAGTTCTTCTTTGTTTCTTCTGGTACAGTGGCGTGGCGTGCTGTGATTGACAGCGTCCTTGACGCTCGAGCTGATTTCCACCTGAAGCAGCTTCCTTTGGGTGTGATGAGTGGCCAGCGGGTCCTCGGAGTTGTCCACGACGCTGTCATCTTCCTGTTGGAGCAGCTGGAGGGCGCAGCCAGCTGCAAGCGACACCGTTTCCGCTTCCACCGCTGCGAAGACGCTGAGGAGGAGCTGCCTCTCAACCCGAGCGGCTGCGCTCGAGCTGAAGTTTACACAAGGTACAGACAGGTTGCTTTACACAAAGGCTCACCTCAAGGGTTTGCAATTAAATGGAGTTCACATGTACAAAAAATGTCTCATCAAATTAATTCACAAAATTCAATAAAGATAAATAGATTTCCTAAAACATGGAAGAATTTACTTCTCTAATAACACTGATCACATTAATATATGTTAGTCAAGAAAGAAAATATATACAGATGATAACATATCAGCTAGTTCTGAAAGTTTTTCATCCACTAATATTTTGGCCGAGTATGTCTTTCAAAGTTTTGAAAGATCTGCACTGAGCCTTTAATTTGTTTTTTGTTTTTGTGTTCTTGTTCTAAAAAGCTAACAAGCTAACTTGTGCTTCCCCTTCTGTCATATCTATGAACAGGAAAGCAACATTTGATATGTTCAACTTCCTGGCATCCCAACACAGACCGCTCCCTGAGTTAGTAGGCCCATTTGATGAAGATGATGATGAGTTCCCGCTAAAAGCCTCCAGGTTTCTTAATCTAATCTCTACTGTTTTTTTTTTTTTTTTACTGCGGCTAAAAGAAAGCAGCAGGCTCACATTGATGCTATCTCTGTTTTAATTTGCCTCCTCCAGACGAGCCACCAGCAGTGAACTACCCATGGCAATGAGGTTCAGGCACTTGGAAAAAATCTCTAAAGAAGCAGTAGGCGTCTACAGGTAACTGAAGAAAAAAACACTTTAGAGAAGATGCAATATTTTTCTTGTATTCAAACCAACTGGAGGAACATTTGTCTCGTAGATCTGCGATTCATGGCCGCGGCCTTTTCTGCAAGAGGAACATCGACGCTGGGGAGATGGTGATCGAGTATGCAGGCACAGTCATTCGGGCTGTTCTGACGGATAAACGGGAGAAATATTACGACAGTAAGGTTAGTGAGAGTTTTTCTACACAAGGGGCCCTGAAATAATCCTGTTTGGATGCAGAAGTATAAAAGTTACTCTGAAACATTTGAATGCATCCTTTGATGTGATCCCTGACCCATACAAACACGTGTTATTTTTCATTGTTACATTAATAAGCGCAATCTAAAAAAATTGCTGTTGTCAACTTAACATATTCAAAATATTGCACGATTTAACAGTTATTAGAAAACATTTAGGAGAGTTCAAGCAGCTTCTAGAAGAATGAGAGCTGCTATACTTAAAAAAAAAATATATATATATATTTTTTAAGAAATCTTTTCTCACACAGTCTGTCTGTATTTATCCTTCAGTGCTCTAAAATATCATGGTAGATGGCTGCTTTCACTTTAACAGACAGACTCCAGCAGAGAAAAGTACTAGAGACTTTCCTCTTAAACTCCTGAATAACCTTTTAGCCTTTGCTTTTCTCTCCCCATGTATCTGTGAACCCTTTCATCATTCCTACACGGTCCTGAAAATTGTGTTAATCAATTTAAATATGTGCCAGATCTGGATCGTTATGGAAAACATAAGTTTTTCTGGTTATTTCGCTGTCTAAATGAACCACTTAAAGTATAACTTACCCTGAAAAGAAGCATAACCATAGCCCAGAAGCAGTTTGGGGTTTAGCGGGGCTGTTAACGAGACGGGGTAAAGCATGGAGAGGGAACAGAGGGACGCTGGTGGTTATGCCACAGATGGATCTTCTGAGGTGGAGGATTTTTTCCCCTCATCACCAGGGGTTGAAGAAAGCTTTGTGGAGCCCAGTAGGCCGAGCCATCATTACATGATGACTCGCTATAGTAATATCTGACTGAGATGCTTCAACGACATAAGCTTGAAACTTTTATAACAGAAAAAATTCAGTTGTAACATTAAGTGATTGACTCCAATGCCACATTCACAGATTTTAAGTTTCAGGTATGTCCTGTTTAAATTTAATGTCTGAGATGGACGCTCATAAATGGGCATCAAGAGGTCCTGCAGCCCTTTTTAACCATTTGGTGTGGCACCTCTTGAAGCTTTTCAAAACTTGGATGCGACGCATCGTGATCTTTTAAGCTTTTATGCACATGCAAAACACCAGACGCTGGATTAGCAAAAACTGAACTTGTGTAGAACTTTTCTCTAGCTGCAAGACATAATCATAAAAATTAGGAGTAATACATTTATAAAGATGGATGTACAGCTCTCTCTCTCTCTCTCTCTCTGTGTAATCAGCAAAAGTTATTTAATTTCAATTGGATTATATGAAGCTTCAGCTGTATAATTTTATTTTTTTTTTTTACACTAGGGCATTGGCTGCTACATGTTCCGCATTGATGACTTTGATGTGGTCGATGCGACGATGCAAGGCAACGCAGCCCGCTTCATCAACCACTCCTGCGAGCCGAACTGCTACTCTCGCGTCATCAACGTGGACGGACGCAAACACATCGTCATCTTCGCCCTGAGGAAGATCTACCGGGGCGAAGAGCTCACCTATGACTACAAGTTCCCCATCGAGGATGACAAAAACAAGCTGCACTGCAACTGCGGCGCCAGGCGGTGCCGCCGCTACCTTAACTAGACATCCTGGTCACAACCATCGGCTTTTGAGTACAGAAAAAAGCCATCTTTTTATATGTATATATGGAAAGAGCTTGATTTAAAAACAAATCTTCTCATGACTGTCCTCAAATCCTTGGTTAGTTTCCTGAGTGCAGACGTGTGTAGCGTTCCTTTGGATTTAAAGTAGGCTTACCCTTTTCCCGCTGCACTCTCTCAAGGTGTCCTTTGTTTGTGACTTCTGCTGAATTTGAGTCTAGACAGATAATTACCAAAACACCCACGTATGGAGCTCACCAGCAGACCCCGGTGGCAGTTATTAGAGTAAAGGAGGCCCGTCGTTATGCTGCTGGAAGAGCGTGCCTGCAAATACAGGATCAAAAAGAGGGGAATGAGGAGAATTTATTCAGCACCTTACTTTGACACAACCTCCTCTGGCAGCGCGGCAGCAGCAGACTGGACACGTTTCCTTTTCCAGACAGAGTAAACAAATTACACCCATTGCACCTTGTGTATATTGTAGAGCAGCTACATTTGAACTCATCTCCGGTCAGCAGGGAATTCACTGTTTTAGATCCTGATGTTATTTATCCCCCCAAAAAGTCTGTTTTAATAGTCCTTTTCCATCTGCTGTCAGTTCCGTTTTGCCATTTTTATTTGTGATGGAAGAAAAGTTTTTATCCAGCTGATATTCTCTTCTTTATTTGTTGTTTTTTTGTGTATTGTGACTAATGAGGGATAGTTCTCTTGTTGCAGGATTTGCTTCTGCCATGCAGTCGTTTTTCTAAATCTTTTTGTATATTTGAACAATAAATGTCTATTGAAACCAATCGGAAGCAGCGTGTTTGAGCTTTTAAACAGCTGAAGGTTAAACTGAGACGAAGCTTTCCTGGTTTCTTCGTCCTCACATCTCTCAGGTTTTCCTCATCTAAGTTTTCATTTTTCATATAGTAACATTGTATTTAATTAAACACCACTTTGTTGTTAAATCTTTCTAATTCTAGAGGAATGCGTGTGAGTACTAATAAGCATAAACTACTGTACTAAACACAAGTCCACGCATTGGGAAACCACATGAAGTCACTGGCTGTATATTTTTTGTCTTCGTTTGAAATCCTAATCGAATTTCAGTTGCAAATCCATAATACAGAGGGACTGTTAATGTAAAACTTGTATAAAGAATTTCTAAACCTGTTACATATTTTTTTACTTTTTTTTTTATTTATGTTGAATAAAATTTCTCAAAGTTTCAGATGCCTCCTTTTCTTGTTCAGGAACTCTTATCGTTATTGACTTTTTGATATTGACACACTTCTCCCTCTGCTTTTTTTCTTACTGTATGTATTTTACCCTACTGTATGACCATTATTCTTTTTCACTGTGCTTCTGATGTGGATTCATTTACCAACTGAAAGGTAAACATTATTTATTAAGAAAAAATATTATCCAAACCCATGATGCTCTATATGGAAAAAGAAGATTGTGAATAAACTGATTTACAAAAAGTTTTGTGCAATCTAACCAGCCAAGCCCAGATCGGCTTACTGTTAAACCTGTGAAATGTTTAAGATAAACAGAATATATCTAACAAAATGGAAAAAGAAAATGATTAAGGTTTGAAAAAGTAAAACACGAGTCTCCAATGTGTAGAAGTCAAGAATGCTGCATCAACTCTCCAGGAGGTCACAGAAGAAGCCAGAGAAACATCTAAACATAGCAGGCCTTATGATTCCATTAACCACTAACCTTCCTTCCATCCATCCATTCATTTTTAGTCACCATTATCCCAAGCAGGGTCCCGAAGAGTGCTGGTGTCCTGCTGGGTAACACTACGACAAACTATCATTCACACACACTCACATCTAGGGAGAATTAACCTAACAGTCATGTTTTTAGACTGGGAGGAAGCTGGAGTACCCATAGAGAACTTACATATGCTCAAGGAGAACATGCAAATTCCATGCAGAGCAGCCCATAACTACTAACCTGACAGGATAAAATGCTTCATTTCACAATTTCCCCCAAAATATCTTTTGATTTAAAGACTTCCAAATGAAATGTACTTTGGATGAGACAGAAAAGCTTTTTTTTTTCAGGCTGTGTTTACTGTCAGTACTTGCTTAAAAGTTATGTAACATTTCAGAGAAAGAGTATATCTACTGAATGTTAAACACGGTGGTGGTAGTGTGATGGCCTTGGGCTGCTTTAGGACGTGGAGAGCATAATGTGAAACCATGGATTGGGTTTCTATTAGAGAATTGTGTAGAGTACCTGTGATCTAACGTAAAATACAAAATCCATATCTACAAAAGATAGAAGGAGGGTTTTGAGCTGTCCTACTGAAAGCCTGTTCTTGTTTCATGAGGCATAAAAAACTAACATTTGAACGCTTTCCTGAGTCCCTAAATTAAACTAATTCTGCAGAATTCTGAGATCGGTCCAAAACGTCCTCCACAGTGATCCACAAAATTTACGGTACTTTTTTAATTTTTATTAAAGCACTTGATTGGAGCTGTCGTTAGTTTTAGCATTAAAAATAGCATATTAACATAGATTTTAGCTGGTTTGGATAACTTCTTTCTAATCTCACCTGCTTTATATTATCAAACAAGAACCAGATTTTTTTGGTTTTATTTGATTTTGGGTAAGGGGGGAAAATTAATATCAGGTTTTTTAAATTAGAATTTTGGAGTGGAATATATTAAACACACTTTTATGTTAGATATTAAATTGAATAATGCCATAATGATGTTTGAGATTAATGTTTTACAGGTAGCTCAGATGTGATTAACTCTTCCTCAATATTCAAGAGTTTTAAAGCTGATATTATTGGTTTTTTTGTTTTTTTTTCCTCCCTCTAAATCCTGCAGTCTGGGACTCTCTTATCAGGTTTGTTGGGAATCATACAAATGTTCCTGGTGCCTTTTGCTGATATGAGAGCAGACACCTGCAGGCTGCAATCCGATAGTATATAGGACCATGATATATATATATATATATATATATATATATATATATATATATATATATATATATATATATATATATATATATATATATATATATATATACATATATATATATAAATATATAGATATAGATATATATAGATATATATATGCTTTGTTGTCCCTTAAATGTGTTGAAATATTTTATGTCTTAATGTAAATTTTCTTTGCATGATATAAAGTGAACTAAAGCAGCCTGAAGACATCAAGCTTCATTTTGGACATAAGTCAAGGTCTCTCTTTCTTTAGGCCATATGAACCATATGGACCCTTCCCAGCTCTTAGCTTGATAAGGTTCGATGTAAAGGCAGCAGAGAGGTTTATAAGGAGCCCTGCTATTGGCTAGATCCACACACAGACAAACCCAACCATGAAGATCCTCATATTCCTGTCATTTGTTGGCGCAGCATGTAAGACTGGACTATTTTATTTACAATATAACATAGTTTACAATATTACATATTTCTTGTGTAGCTCAACACATTCCCTCTTAGTGTTTCTCAGCATCTTCTCCACAGCACAGATTATATTTTCTCTTTCAGTTGTTGCAGCTGAAGATCAGAAAGTTGTCGGAGGATATGAGTGCCCCAGACACTCCGTTCCCTACCAGGTGTCTTTGAACGCTGGGTACCACTTCTGTGGGGGATCTCTCATCTCAAGCCTGTGGGTCATTTCTGCCGCTCACTGCTACAAGTCGTGAGTAAAATAAGTCATTTCTACACCTTATTTCTCCCAAATCTGACACATGTTCCAGGCTGCTTTTATCTGTGGGTCACTAGAAGCTGTTGGATCTGGTTAGTTTCTTATTATTTTTATGGAAAATCCAACATTGTGTTGAAGAGTCTGAAAAGCACAAAGTTTTGCTATAGTTTTCCAAGTCTTGAAATTAAAGGTTACTCTTAAGAGTCTCTAAACTTAAAGGATATGTCAGTCAGGTTAACACAACTTTACAAATAATTGTTTTATATTAAGTCTCTGCTACCAGCAGTCTGTCACCAACAAAATCTCAATCTAAATTTTTTATCTCAACATTTTTAAACATGACACAAGCAGGGTTTATTTCTGAGAAATCTCATCATCTCATCAGGCAGGAACTGGTTTATGTTAAAAAAAAAAGAAATATATCGAAAGTATTTTACCATTTATTTTATAATTTCCAAATGGATTTACGAAGAAAAATGCTGAACCTCACAGAAGAAATTGACCAACACTGAACTTTTCCACATTTTGTTCAATAACAATCAGGAACTTTATTTCATTAACCAAAACTAAGTATTTTCCAAACATGAAATGTAAATTATGTTATTTTTAAATAACTGAAAGTCAAAAAACTGTTTTAGTCGTATTCCTGCAACATCATTGTGATACCCATCAATAAAATATCCTGCCACCAGTTGCCTTTAGCAAAGGATAGTGAGGAGAAAATTCATCAGAGGTAACTCTGCAGGAGCTGCACAGCTCATGTGAGGAAAATCTGCTAACATGAAAATAGCTGTCCACTCCTCAAATATATCTAACATCTACAATGTGACCCCTGCTTCCTGTCAACCAGCGGCATCCAGGTGCGTCTTGGTGAGCACAACATCGCTGTAAATGAAGGCACCGAGCAGTGGATCTCCGCCTCCAAGCTGATCAAGCATCCTCAGTACAACAGATACAACCTGGACAACGACATCATGCTGATCAAGCTGAGCCGGCCCGCCACCATCAACAGCTACGTCCAGACTGTGTCCCTGCCTAGTCGCTGCCCAGTGGCTGATGAGAACTGCCTGGTGTCCGGGTGGGGCAACACCTCCCCCAGTGGAAGTAGGTGAAGGGAGAAAGGAGTAATAGTTATGATATCTAGAGCCTTAATGGAAGGTGGTCACTGACAGAATCTGCAATGCAAAGGGATTTGAAGAAAGTCACCATGTGAAAAAGGTGTAAAAACATTTTTAAAGTATCCAATCAATGATAAAACCAAAACTATATCAGTGATGCCAAAGACTCAATGAGAACTGTTGCTTTTAACACCATTGTTTTTTTTTTATCATCTAACAATTTCTGACTTCCTGTTTCCCTCTGGTATGATTGTGACATGTTACTAAAATCACTTAGCCACTCTTCAAAAATGATAATAAGGAGGGTACATACAGTTCATGTAGGGGAGGATTTGTTTGGTTGTCATAATTAAGAAAATAATCTAAAAAAAATCCCCTGTTTAAAAAAACAAACATAAATCCAGCTAATTAGAGTCTTAAATTATCATTCAGTATCATTATTTATTATTATCATGTCATTATATACTATTATCATTTTGTATGCACAGATTGCATATAGATTTTGTTGCATACAGCTTACAACAGTGTAATGATATTGCAGTTGTGGTAAGATAAACATCAATATAAAGTGCAGAAGTAATCAGAATGTAAAAAATATAGAAGAATAAGAAACCAGTTTAAAATAATGGTGCAAAAGGGCATTAATATGAAAAACGTTTAGCTCATTGCAAAATAAATATGGTGCAAAATGCAGTAGAACATTGAGTTTTGTTCTATTTAAAAAGGATTATAAAAGTTCACCAACATTGGCAGAGTCCAGTTTAGAGTTATACGGTCTGATGGCAGCAAGGAAAAAGCTGTTGTGAAACCTGCAGGGGATGCTAGGAAGCCTCTTCCCAGAGGGCAGAAGGGAGGTGGGGAGGGATGAAATGTCTGTTGTGGAGGTAATTGTGATCAGAACTCAAATTTATTTTACTTATGTAATAGACAGAGAAATCAAATGGTGACAGTTTCAACTAGCAATAATCACTAATTTACCCCTTTCATATTCTGCTAACTTTTATATACGTTTGCATATTATATTACTAGTTTTTTCCCCTGTGGCTAGGAGATGCATTTTCAGACAGAAATGTAAATAGATGTATAAATTAATACTTATCCCTCTTTTAATGCAGGCAACTACCCAGACAGACTTCAGTGTTTGAAACAGCCCATCATTGACCACCGTATCTGCAGGAATGCATACCCACACCTCTTCACTGACAACATGGTGTGCTCTGGATTCATGCATGGAGGCGCCAGCAGCTGCCAGGTGAGGAGTTAGAATCCACACCAGCTAAGTGTTGTTGAACCTAAAACATTGATTTATCTTTGCCTCATAGATCTTTGTATAATTCAATGGTTTAACGTAAAGGAAATCTTAAATATTATAATAACTGCTTAGTAAATTATGAAACAAAATCAGCAATAATTTGAGTTCATGTTAGTAAATCACAGAAAATAATCTTAATAGAAAACTAACAGTTGCCAGTAATGAATACCTTTACTCTAAGGCAATTGACAGTATTTAAAACTTCTTGTACAATAATAAAGAATGGATTAAAAAATAGCATTAATGATAACCGGAATATTTATTTGTTGTGTTAATAAGTTACACTGGTAAAAGTTTTGCTTATAACTGTAACAATCATTTACAAAATTTTCCCTGAAAACCATTTTTTTCCCCCATTTTCCATATCTTAGAATCTTAAACATACATGCTTCACATTCCTCCCTCCACTCTTATTGCATTTTTGGTCAAAATTGACTCTGTGTTGATAAGAAGAATCACACATATTTTGCTTGAATATTAATATACCCTTCAAGGCGTTTAAGCCGTTTTCCTCCCATTGATTCCCATTTAAACCGTTGCAGATTAATTGCTGTTTTTTATCTGGTTGCTCCCTTGTGTTGAAGCATCTCTAGTGATATAGTAAGATATTAGTGATATTTTCAAATTGCCTGTAAAATAAGAACACATAACTGGTGCTACTCTTATCTTATTATATATCTTTTTTTTATCTATATCTTTAAATAATATTCTAATATTTTACCCTTTCTTGTCATCATTAGTTTTTGGCCTACTTATCTGCCATTTCATCTTGTTCCAAAAATATCCTAAAATGGTAAAAATAAATAAATAAATAAACCCCAGTTTTACTTTTTCGGTATGATATTTTTTTTTTCTCTACTTGACTCATACATCTCCATACAATCAAACAGCAGTCCTGGGTTATGAGGAATGACAGAACAATGTCTTTATTGATCAGCTCCCCCCTCCGCCTGCAGGGTGACTCCGGTGGTCCGTTGGTGTGCGGCGGTCAGCTGCAGGGAGTTGTCTCCTGGGGTTATGACTGCGCCATGCAGGGACACCCCAGCGTCTACGCCCGTGTGTGCCGCTACAACAGCTGGATCAACTCCACCATGCGCAACAACTGAATTCACCTATCCATTAATGTATCAGCTGGATTTACTGCTAAATCAACAAATTAATAAAATCTGTTTTTTCAGGGAGGTCTATTGCATATGTTTTTTTGTAAGTCTCTATAATTTCTCAGTGGATAGCAACAACTTTAACATGCTCATGTTTGTCACTGGTTCACACGTTCAGTTTTACTCCACTACACATGCATGCATCTTGCTGTATTCTCTCCCTGGATGCTGTTAGGACCAGGCTGATATGGAAAGTCAAGCAAACTTCTAAATATACAGTAATAGATAACTGTGTTTCACAGGCGTAAATATGCTGTGGATGCTTTCCTCAGGCGGCGCTTTGTAAACTTCGCTGTTTCTTGTTTGCTGAGGCAACCTGGACACACAAAAGGAAACACAAAGTTGAAAGAGAAGTAATAAATATAAGCTATCACCATCTAAATAAAGGTATTGTGCAATTCCTTACAGATGCGCTGTCAGTAAATAACCATCAGCTGTGTCCAAGCGGCTCCAGGTTATATTATATATATATTTTTTGCTTTGGTTTAAAACTCTCTTTGATTGTCTGCTTGTTTTTTTTGTTTGTTTTTTTATCTTAGAGACCTTTTCTCTGTAATTTACCTGAATATCACGAATTTCATTTCTGAAAAAAATTAATTATTTGGTGGGTTTTTGTTTTTTTATAAAGTTATATTAAAGTTATGATATTTCTACGTTGAAAACCCACCTGACCAGCAATCCTGTCCAAGTCCCTCTGGCCCTGAGGAGTTAGCCGACGACCTCTGTGAGGACAAATGTTAATGATTAGACACCAATTCAGTGTTAAATACAATGTCCTGAATATATATATATATATATATATATATTTTTTTTTTTTTTTTGTGCGACATTACTATAATAATGTATAGTTTGTGTGATTGACTGACACAACATAGCAGAGCTGAACAGAAAGGAAAATGGATTTTCAATTAAAAGTGTGGTGTGCATCTGCATTTACACCTGAATGCACACCTGAACCAATACTTTGCAGACTTACCTTCTGTTGCAATTAGGGATAATTAATTAGAGATAATTAATGTTTATGAGATATGTGTCTACCTTCCAACTTTCTAGAGAAAACAATTCTTCTTTGCAAAACAGTTCAAGTTCATTTAGATTGATTTAGGACATTTATGTAAGATCCATCTTTTCAAGCCTTGCTTTAAATTCTGTATTAGATTTTGGTCTGCACTGTGGCCTGTTTAAACCCAGTTAGAAGTTTTCATTTAAGCTTTTGTCTTGTTTTAAATTGTTATTTCCAAAACATATCGACATCAAGTTCACACATTTTATTTATTTATTTTTTTTGCTGTTGAAACATTTGAACATATGAATCCCACACACTAGGAAATAGTAAACATGATAATTACCATGCTAAAGAAAAACTGAAATTATACAAAGAAAAGAAAAGAAAAACCCAGAGCAGAAATATTTCACTAGTTTTTGGTAATTTAATTTAAACTCTAATGGAGAACAGTTGAAAACGTATTGTAGAACAATAAAAAGGACTGTCTAACCCATCTGTTTTAAAACCAAGCTGATGTGAACTCCAAACATATGCTGAGCTGTTCCTAGCAGAATTTCTAATCAACTTCCCCCGAAAATTTATGGAATTATCAGTAAATCAGACCTCCAGGTTATGTTGAACATTTCAGAACACCTCTATTTTAAATTTCCTCCAAACAATAAGCCCTTTGGTCTCGATTGCAGGATTTGTATCCTGTTGAAGAGATAAATGCCTGTGCGCAAGAGAAGCACGAGCAACCATGTTTCTGTCTCTGTAACAGTCAGATTGCTGTGGAACACTAAACAGTGAGATCAGAACAATGGGATCCAAAGTTATTAGTCATACTGTTGATAGATTCTTCCACTAAAGTGAAAGATTTCTGCAGCTGCTTCAATCTTCAGGCTTATAATTTAATAATCACTGGTTTTCTGAACTTTTGCATCATGCAACCAGACTCTCTTGCATTCTTTAAAAGTTATCTTGATGACAGGATTTTGGGTTCAAATTGTTCTTTCTGGGGGACCGCCAATAGTTTGTAAGAGACTGGAGAAATACTGGTTAATATTATTTTTTTTTAAAAAGTTTACTTGCTCTCATTTCTTACCCATTTGGATCCTTCTCCACCATCTTAAGGCCGTCCAGGGCTTGAAGAACCTTCCTTGCAACGTTTCTAGAGCCCACGCTAAAGTGGGCGGGGCATACACCATTTCTCTGACGCCCGCCATAGATCTTGATCATAGCGCCCACTCCTACACCGCCTCGTAGGTAAAGGTGACGGGCTGTGGATGCTAGTGAGGAGTCAAAAAAAAAAAGAACTGGTTTTATCATATTAAACATACAATTATTCCATTCCACCTTCTGTGACATTTGCTGCAATGTACAACTTTTGATTGAGATTGTAAATCAAAAGGACATCTGAGAAGGATTGGAATATCTCTGGACATTACAGGGAGAAAGAGACAAAGATAAAGTGAAGTTCAGCACTTTATCAACATCAAATATCTTAGTTATTCCTTTATTAGAGAAATAGTTGTACAGTTAAATTAATCAGAGCTTTAATTTCTATTGTGCTTATTGCATTCAATGATTCATATTCAAAAAGATGCACATCTGAACGACGACTGATTACAAATCCTAAAATGTACATTTGAACACTTCCTGCTGTGAAGCCGTGGAGGTCCAAAAGTCTGAACATTGAAAAAATAAATGTAAAAATTATTTTTTTGTTTTTATTAAACTTCCAAACAAAGTCACAACTAACAAATAAATAGACATATTTATGGCCTACTGCTGTAGGACATGTTTTTTTTATTTGCTCTCTCAGCCAATTAAAGTTAGTGGGCGGGGCTAATACTGATGGTAATCAAGATGGCAGCTCAGTGAGCACTTTAACCAATCAGCTGGTAGGAGCATCAGTGACAGTGGTGCATGGTGCTATAAAATCTGTTTCCTATAAATGGATAGAGGTAAGACAACCGGATTTAATGTGGCTATAAAATTACTGCAGTTTGATTGATTGATTGTCGGTATTGATCTCACAGTGGAGAAATGTACTCGTTACATCAGCTCAACTAGTCAAATAGAGAAGAAGAATGTGCCAAAGGAGAAAAAGGTGCATGGGATATATACAGTATATACAGTGCATCCACATATGGCAACTTTTTTTTTTTTATGGCAGGATTATTATACAGGGTTTTTGCACAGGGTGTTTATATGGGTATTTATATAGATGGATATTTATATATATATAGTTTTTGCACTGGGTGTCAATAACTATATATATATATATAAATAAATTCTTTAAGGTTTTAGCTGTAATCACTCTCTTCACGGATACATACATATCTATATGTGTTATTATTCTTATCATTGTTTGATGGCTGCTGCTACTACTTGTTGCAAACAAGTTGCCCTTCAGGTGCCTAATAAAATCAAGTCCAAGCAACCTGCTCTGGTGTAAAACCAGTTGTCATCGCAGGGTGCCAGCTCTTTGTGTCTCGCTAACTTCCCAGTGTCAACCCACTCTGGGACCTTGAGTTTGCCAGACCTGAAAAACACACAAAATAAAAATAAGATGATTAGGTTTAACAGCAAAGAAATAAGAGAGATGAATGTCCTTAAATAAAGTAAAAAATTATAGGGGGTTTTAATGCAAACCAGATTTTTATTTTTTTTAACAATGAGTAAAACAGCTAATAATTTTATATGATCAAACCAGGTCAATTTTCACATTTCCCGAGACTTAATTGAAAGAGTGAATGACATTTTAACTTGATGGCAAAAAGATTAGGAAGAAGAGTTAACATTAATAATAACAATGGTCATTGCAATGTTCAATACAATGATGGATGGATGGATGGATGGATGGATGGATGGACGGACGGATGGATGGATGATGATGGATAACTGGATCCGTGGATAAAAAAACCAAAAAACTTTTATTCTTTTTATATTGTTTTCAACCTGAGAACACACATGTAATTAATCAGGTTGGTTAATTACATTTTAAGTTTCAATTCAAAGATCACAGATGGCCATTTAATACATTTCTTTTTATTCAATTTTCTTTCTTTATTTAAAAATGTATTTATCTAAATAATGAAATAAATTTAGCCTTATAGCAAGTGTTATCCTTTTTATTTTTGTATATATAATTTTACTTTTTGTGTGTATAGATACATACTATATTTCTGCAATTTTCCATGGAAATAACAATGACAAGAATTATAAAAGTACAAAAAATTTTAATTTGAAAAATCATAAAAAAGAATATCCCTTCATTATTAACAAGGAAACCTAAGGAAGAGGACGAAGATGAAGTTAAGTAATTTTTAAATTGTATTTCAGTATAATATGAGAAAAAAGTCAGAATTCTGACCTTAATCTCAGAATTCTGACTTTTTTTTCTTACAATTCTGACTGTAATCTCAGAATTCTGACTTTTTTTCCTTACAATTCTGACTTTAATCTCAGAATTCTGACTTTTTTTCTCATAATTCTCACTTTTTTCTCACAATTCTGAGTTTGTTCTCACAATTCTGACATTTTTGCCATATTAAACTGAAATAACATTTAAAAATCAGTTAACTTTCTTATTTTCCACTAATTTTTCCATGAACTAATCCTCTTCCATAGAAACCAATTAGCTCCTCCTCATCCTCATCAAACTGCATCAGGTACTTCAGACTGGTTGATTGACGGGCAGTGAGCGCAGAAAGTATGGCTTCACCTTCTGGTTTACTTACTTTTTGAGAAAAGCTGACAACGCCTTGACAAACTCCTGCTGGTTGACATCTTTCACCGTCACACTGGGCATCTAGAAAAACAAACAGGAGAAAATAAGCAAATAAATTCCTCTAAACATGACAGAGATGGGGCGGTTGGAATGTGGCGCGTGTCGCAGTAAGAAACGTCTCCCTCTTGCTAACGGTAGCCTAACGGTAGCCTAGCTAAATCTGATGCTTTAGGTAGCCAAGCATCGCACTATAGGACATATTTGATCTATTTTTATGTCTAGTATCACATTTTTCTGATTTACTTTAAAAGCCACAAGTTCCCCAGGCTGGACGTATCTCGGTGTAGTCGAAGCATCAAAGGGAGGATGCTGCTGCTGATGATGATGATGATGATGATGAGGGATGGAGGAAGACTGTCCGCATATGGAAAGGATGAAGCTTTACTGTTCGTCCTAACAATTCAAACCGTTTTAAAGGTCATATTTATTTATTTTTTATCCACAACATCTTATTTTATAGATGTGACGGTTTAATAATATTGTAAAAACATATTACATAAATAAAATCAAGTAATTCATATTGTATCCAGCAGGGGGTAGTGTTGTGACAGTTTTTTTCCTCCCCTCTTATTTGACTTTTTTCTAAACAGATTCAAAAGCTCTTTTAAAGACTACTGCGGTACAGACGGCAACAGAGGGGAAGTCGTCTTGGAGAAGAATGCATCAAAGGAGGGTAAGTAACTCCAATGTTTGACTTTAAAACTCGTAATTCTGTCTGGAAATCGACTTACTTTGCTGTACTTGCATGTTGAAGTGAGTTGCACCTTATTTAGGGCGATTGATTTGTAGTTTTTGTCAATTCTGTTACAAAAAAGACAGTTTGCAGCAAATTATTTAGGTTTTAATGGATAAGAGGGGCTTTGCAGTTCTAAAGAATGATGTTCTTTTATCACTGGGCATTGTTTGCTTGGATCAGTGGCCATCTTTTCATACTGGGACTGAGTCACAGGCCTTCCAGTGCCAGGATAATTCTTCTACCTTTCAAAAACAAAGAAATAAACACTGTGTGCTTCTAGAGTTTGGGTCATTACAAATCTCCTGCCTAATTTACATTGCATGAGAAATTACAGGGTGCAGTAACCCTGCAGACCAGGCTTCTAGGTTTTAGCTCTCTCCCTTTGTAACCACTCCTTTTTTTCTTTCTCCCTTTCCTTTCTACTTATATCAGTCCTCATAAAATCCTGAGGTTTAAATTATTATTTTATTTCCTTAATTCAGTCATCAATAAAGCTACACCTTTTTTATTATTATTAATAACTAGGATTACTTCCAAAATATCTGTTGCAGTGTTTCAAAAAGTACTAAAGCACCTGTTTTACATTTGTGACTTTAAACTACAGTAGCAAGTTAGGAGGCTGAACGCAAGGATCTGCAGAAATGTATATTAGATTTTAAGTTAGACTCAAATTGTTTATAGATGTTTTTCATTTTGTGAAAATGTTATAAAAATGGAAAATTCCTATTTAAAAATGGCAGTGTTTCTATAGTTAGACTAATATAGCAACAAGCCCTGCCATATAATTTCTTTGTTGAATTGATTTGGTTATAATATCTGTAGAAATAAAGCTAAGAATTAAACCTAAAAATATAATTTAGTTCCTGCTAATGTTTTCCATTTCAATCTATTGTTTTATAATATATTCATTCTAGTTTTGTTTAATAGACAGATAAACAACAACAACAACACACAATATCAGTACAAACTTAACAAATCAAAAAAATATCCCTACTTCTAACTGAAAGCATTATTGGGATCAACCTTTACAATGTGAAATCTAAAAAGTCTAATTTTATTCTTCAGAATAACTGTAATAATAAAGAAAGATAGGTTTGGATGTATTTCTCTTTATCGTCTGAAATATTAAAAACTTTAATAGTAAGTATAATCTAAATGCATAATGCTCAGAAAAAAATTGAGAGTTTTTTTTTTACTAATATCTAAGTGTCAGGATCTTGAACTTTTATGCTATTCATCCTAAAGTCTTCAAGAAAATGTTTTTAGATTTTCAGTTGCTGCTGAGGAGTCAAGCATAAAGGGAATAGTTTTTGCAAATGATATATTTTTGTTATGATTCATTTTAAATAGCAGATTTAATGTTAACCTTAGCATTTAAAAATGATTATAGGGTAGCCGTAAATGCTGGATAATTTGAAATGCTGCAGGAGAGCATCTACGAGCTCAGCCTCTTAACCTTAATATTTGCGTTGCCTTAGAATTCGTTATTTATAATTACATGGGAGTGGGTCTCGCAGCCATGGAGGCAGACATCTTTGCGCTACGGCAGCGCAGAGCCAACAAACTAGCGATTGCGAGATCGCCCATTACGGGTATATTTATTATCTTAAGTCTACATGAAATCTATACCCTACACAGACTAATGAAATACTATCTGTAAAATTATCTATGTAAACAAACCTCATCACTTGAAAAGGTAGGTGATGTGGACGTCGTGGAAGACATTTTGTCCCGTAACGCTCGCCGTCCTGTTGGGGGGGAGAAGCGGTGGGGGGAGATGTTCATGTTGCTGCGGTCTGCAGTATGGAAGTTAGATGTCGCTGAAAATTACACACTGTAGCTTTAAAGATGGTAGGATTGTATGATGATGATGTTAAAATACATGTCTTTGAAACACCTCCTGGACAGTTGGTAGACACTTCAGTGAACTCACTATCCTCTGCAGGACCATCCTCTTAGCTAAATTGACCCTGAATCTAATTGATTCATTTTTTTTAGATATTAATCTAAAAATACTGTTATTTTTGTTTTGATTTGTTTTCTCTTTTTTTGTGGAAATCTAATATGATGATTTTTTTTGTGGAAATGTTAATTTGTTAAGGCTTATTCCAGTTACTGATGTCCATGCATAACAAGGTTTATAACAGTTAAGAGAGTGAACCATTGGGATTTAGGGAGTATTGTAGGCTCCAACCCCTATTACCCACTCGTTGCTGTGCACTGCTTGTAAGCTTGCTTAAAGAAGACCATTAGATCATTACCTCACTTTTAAGAATGACTGATTCAGTTGTTTAAAAGTATCTTTAGCCCTGAAACACATGAACAGTCCTCATGTTAAAGCGGGCCGCTAATCACCCTCATTAGGGTCAAGATGGAATGAAGAATTGCAAAGATTGCAAAATCATGTTTTTTTAATATGAAAATTGGCAGGTGATTATTTTTAATCGTTAGCCACATAAGCAAACAAATAAAAAATAAAATAGTTAATATTTTGATCAAATTCTTAATGAAATGATTAAAATGTCCTGTTTGATATTAAATTAAATAGATTTTTTTTTAACACACTTTAGTTTAAAATCTGTGGAAATACCAGAACACAAAACACAATGAAGCCCTATAAGATTTTCACACAGGGAGACTTTAATTTATATATATATATATATATATATATATATATATATATATATATATATATATATATATATATATATATATATATATATATATATATATATATATATATATATATATATACATGCATACATACATACATACATACATACATACATACATAGAATAGAAGTGCAAAACTATTATAGAAGAAGCCAAAGAAGATATTTTACAGAATTAAACCAGGTGAAACTCAGACTTTTCCACTTGAGGAGTATATTGAAAGAAAAAAAAAGATTTTTTTTATCTTAAATTCTAAATTTTTACATATTGTTTGTACAATTTTGGTATAAATGCTACTCAAGGTGGATTTCTCTGTCTGCTAAAGAAAGACATGTTATAGAGTCTCTATACTCCAGTTAATGATTAATCGGTTACTAAATTAGTTGATGATTATGTCAATAATTAAATAATCACAATTAATCCGATTAATTCTTTCAGCTCTAAATATATATATATATATTTATAAATAAGTAAGACTCACCTAACCTGCAAAGTTTGTAGGTTTTGAATAATTTTAAGGTGTTTTAAAAAAAATCAGTGTGATGTATTTGATTTTTTTCATCAAGGCCTGCCAACTTATCACCCTCAGTCTGCAAAATCCTTCATTCAAATCTAATGTTTGATGAATATGTGTACTAATATTCAGACACATGCAGGACACGCAGCCATAAACACACACGGCAGCACGGCGCTCTCTGTGTCAGCCCGTCTAAAACTCATTCCCCTCCCCCCCCCTCTCAACTCAACATCTCTCTCCCCTTTTTGTCCCTCTCGCCCTCTCCGTTTCCCTCCCCACGCGCTCTCCTGCCTGCTAGCACTATTTCAAGCCTCTGCCGAGGACCGAGGTGGGGAGAGCGAGGCAGAGACACACAGATGCGCAGTCAGAGAGAGGGAGAGGGAGAGGGGAGGGGAAAGCAGACAGGATTTAGAGTTCAAGTGCACGTGCAGAAAACAGGGTGAAAAGAGGCGAGCTGAAGCAGAAAGGAAAGCAGGAAAAGGAACTGCAGGGACTATAGACCAAGCCCACACTGGCCCTTAATCCTCCTCTTTTATCCTCGCTATTTTCTTCAAATAGGAAAGTAGAAGGTATTAGTCTTAGATATACAAAAGAAATTAACATATATCTATCTATATATATATATATATATATATATATATACATATAAAGATCTCTCTCTCTTTATATCTATATATATATCTATATATATATAGATATATATACGTACATTTATATATATATATATATATATATATTTTTTATTTTTTTTTTCCCTACTTCTACCCCCCCCCATTTCTCTCCGTCCTCTCCAGACTGACACACTCCTCCCTTATCCCTCCCTCTTGGATATTTCTCCATTAACCTCCAGTCTCTCTCTTTTCTCTCCGGCTCTCCTTTCTCTCCCCTCCCACCTCTTCACACATTCACTCGCCCCGGACTCCTTCCCACTCATTTCCCTCACGCGCTCTTACTATTCACTTTCACTGGAGACCAACTGCAGTCCGCTCAGGTTTTTTCTCTTCCTTTTACTTTTCTTTCTGCATGCCATTATTTCCTTTCTGCTATCCGTCCAAGTACAGAGGCAGCAGCTCTTAGACTGCGCACTCTTTACTATGTGTGGCGTCTCTGGAAAAAAAAAAAAAAAGTAGGCCGTGGATTTGTCCCCGCATTAGACTGCATGCCACAAACCGCTTGTCCTATCCTGTCAACTATTTTTTTCCCTCCTCTTCCGCAGTATTTTTAAATTTAAAATTTTTTTTTTTTGGGTGGGGGTACCCATGTATTTCCCTTTTCAGTAATCTTTTTTTTTTTTTTTTTCTAAAATCGTTTGTGCATTGAAAAATGGAAGCTGGGAGTTGAAGAAAGGAAAACTGTCTGATGTGTGGACATGTGAAGCAGGCAGAGGCAGAAAAAGGAGGGGAAAATG